AATAACTAACGGTAAAGAAATTTTACTAATTTTTTGCTATTATTACTAAGGAAAATTAATTTTTTTATTTATATTATTATACAATCATTTAAATTTCTAATATATTTTTTTTTTTTTTTAATTAAAATTTTGTATTATTTGTGTTTTTTATATCGTTTTTATTGAATTTATGTAGTATTTTGTCATGTTTAAATAGCATATCATGTATATATATATATATATATATATATATATATATTCTTACTATGCATAAGCTGATAAAATATAAGTAATCAATATTCATTTGTAATTGATTGAAAGAATTTTTAACATTATAATCATTGTATTAAAAGCAATTAACTATTGGATGTTAGACTCTTCTAATATACAATACTTTTAATATACAATACAATAGCAATGTTGATTGCTGTCTATTCTTTGCTACGCCTTATAATAATTTTCATGCCTACGAAATATCCTCTATTGAATTACTCATCACCTAAGGAATGTACTTAGTTCCTAATTTGTAATAATTAGTTTGGAGAGTTTCTGTGGGTTCTGGATATATGTATGAATGAATATATATATATATATATATATATATATATATATATATATATATATATATTGTTAGTACGAAACAGACAATAAAGGTTGCATTTGGGTCTCGAATAGCACAGTTTAAACATTTCCCCAATATGTTATGGAGTAGGCATAAGTATTTTTTCATGGTTAATATTAAGATTATTGAACGTTAACAGATACATGCAAATGACAAGCACAGATGAAGCTTTTTAAAATTATCTTTAGTTTTTACAATAGTACTATGAGTGAAATGTAAAACTCGCGCATGTTTTTAATGATGTCTATACCATTTTGTAGATAATAGCAGTGCAATTGTAAATATTAGATTATAGATAAGATAATGCATTTATATAACGGAATATAAAATTATCGCAATTATTAAAATTTTTATTTAGTAAAATTATAAATCCTTAATCATAACTATTCCGGATCATATTATTTTTTAACGAGATGTAATATTTTATTATCATTGGACACAAATATATTTAATACAATTGAAGATTTGCTTTTTATGAAAAACCCATAATGATACTACTAATATTAATATATTACATAATTAAAACTGCAAAATTAATATAAGCAGAGAGAAATAGTATTATAAGATTAATTATGAAGGCTAATAAATTTTAAAATTGAATGAAAAAAAAATTGTTTTTTTTGATAATAATATATGAAATACTAAGATAATACTTATCTTTGGAGTATTTTGGTTAATTATATGATAAAAATATTGTGTAATGAAGACGATTATAAAATTTTTTTTTTGAATAAAATTTATATAATTGATTTTTCTATGTATAGGGTTAAACATATTTTGAAGAGTTAAAGTTTTTAAAAATATGATTAAACTCATCTATTATTACGTAGCAAGAAGTAATTGACTGACACAATGACTTAAACAGATACTGTAACATTAAAGCCACGTCAATAGATTGGAACATTATAAATTGAGCATAAAACTTATAGAAGCAGGGAAAAATTATAAATAATAGGAATAGAGAATACATAAATATAGTATGATGAATTTAGGCAGCTAGATTAGTTATGGGAAAATTTTTATTAGTGGTAATAGAATAATGTTTTATCACGTGCATTAATTACTGATTCGTCATACATCTAAGTTACATCCATTAAATCAAATTATACAACAAAAAGCTTAAAAAAAAGAAGAAAAGAAGGTGAATATTAAACGGAGCATGAAATAGTAACGCAGGAATCGTAGTACTTAATTATAACAACAATATTAACAATATTAAAGCAATGGAGAAGAATAATAGGGAAGGAAAATATTATGCAATTATCATACTTTTTACAATTGAAAAAATTTAATAATATCATACTGTTTATCCGTGTAATTAACAAGTATTAAATTTTAATTTTTCAAATGGTTAAGCTAAGTAAAAGTATTTAAGTAATTCTTATAAAAATTAATATAATGATAATAATAATATACATAAAATTGGCGATATTCAAATTATATTTCTAAATTTATTTTTAAACTGTAATATTGTGATAATTGAAAGTTAATTGCAAATTATTATTACTTATATACGTTCGAAATATAACAATTTCCGGTATTTTAATTATATAAATTTGAATTATCCATTATGACTTCAAATATATTAAAATATTTTAACATTTTATTACGACTATGATTCAATGTAATATAATTTTTCTTTAAGAAGTTTTCATTTGCACTTTTGAACAACTAATCACATCGTTAATTTAAAGATACTGTATTTATAAATAAAAATTATGGAATAATAAAGTTAATTCATCTATATTCATATGCGCACCCATACGTATTCATGCATGCACACGCGCACATACGCACAAAGCACATTTTAAACAGCAAGTACCTAAAGACGATTTTAAATATAACATAATACCACACCACACATAACACATTAGCCAATTTCACTTAATTTAATATAATGATTCGTAAAACAGAATCTAGTAAAATTTTGAGTACTTAAATAAACAATTTAACAACAATGAAATAAAGATAACGTGAAGCAGAATAGTGCTGTGTAAAATTGTACTTTAGTATTCCTTGTTAAAGAAGTAGCAAGCACTATATGGATGGACAGGAGGCCAGGAAAGGGCAGAACAAGGCAAATAGATATGAAAAAAAGGACTCGCAGGAATCCACCACTGCTCCTCTCTTATGTACAAAATAGCAGCGCAGTTCCTCTCACTCACTCACTCGCTCCCTCACTCACTCGCTCACTCTCTCTCTCTCTCTCTCTATCTATCTATCTCACTCCCTCTTTCTTTCATTTCTTCCTTCCACCGCTATTGGAAGGAGATAATAAAGGGGAAAACGAAAGAGAGGAAGAAAACTGACCGAACCTGCCGACAAGTTACACGCGCAAAATAATCACCTAAAGACGGCGCACACGCATACAACATAGGCACAGAGTAGGCTTATACTGCTCTCTCTCACCTTTAGTGGGTACGATGCGCGTTCCATTAGAATCCTTCAAGAGTGTTTGCTCCTCTGGACCAATACCAAACTCCTTTTTCGTGTAGCTGCCTGCCATTTCTGTGCTTCCTCAATTTACAAAATAGAGGATAAAGGGCTCTGGAAATTCAAAATTAACATTTTTATGCTAGTCTACACGGCCACTATTATAAATAATTGGTGTAATATTCTGGCCCTATGGCTCTTTTCCTATAAATGAGATCATCCATCGGTATTTTCACTTGTATTGTATTTATTATTTTTTTTATTTTTTGACTTTGATTGGAAAGAGCAAGAGAAAAAACAACACGCACACTTACACGCACACACGCGCGCGTGCGTCCACGGGAATCGTGGGTACTCCTTTTGTTGACTGAGTCGTGGCGATGATACACAAACCAGGTCTATTTCATTGCACCATCTTAATCTCACAGTGGTGGCACACAACTGTTGCAAGACTACGCGCGTTATTTTTTTAGGTTATGTCACCTTCCACGCAAGCCTCGCGACAACAGAGCGCCAAAGATTATCGCTCCCTTGCTTCTCACGCGCCCAAAGCAGCGTGAATGCTCTTGTTAAATGTAAAAATGAAAGCAGCCCGGTGCCCCACCGATTATTATATCGTGTATTGCGCACGCTCGGTAACCGCCTACTTTCTTTATACTTCTCAATTATTGTCCCCTCCATCAGCCATACATCGCTTTTGTCGTTACGGCCACGTGGGTTTATCATTATGTATTATGCTGAATTATACATTTCTTTTCATTTTTTACTTGGAACAGCGAATTTTTTATAGTTTGATGCGTGGTAGAAACAAGAAACCGCTGTTTCGTGCTCTCGGATGAAAAACTCCTTTTCATTATTCATTATACATTATACATTATTCTATCTTGAATTCACGATGTTTTAATCACAATGTATTAATCATTGGATCGAATTTGTAATAAGCATTTTATTCATTTTAATTTGAAGTTTATCATCCTCTGATATTTGTTTAAACATTGTTTATCAAAGTAATTTGTGCTCTGGATAATTATTATCGTTAATTTCGTTATTTATAATTCACATTTATTTATTAATGATGAATAGTACCACATATACGTGAAATGTATCTTCGAATATACCATTAAGTACATTCGAAGCGCTTGTTAAAAGTAAGATAGATATTTTCATAGAAAACTTAATAAGAAATTATTAGAATACTTGTAAAATACTTGTAAATCCAATAACTGCATTCTTAATGTAATTTTATACCTATCATATTACTCATTGAAAGCACAGCAAAAATAAAAATTGAAACCTTACTATTTAAAAACATGCAACTAAATAAAATATAAAATAAAGTATGGCAATTATATTTTAATAATAAGAAAGCCCGATTATTTTTATGTATAAAAATATAATTGAATGTCGAAAAAGAAGTTTACACAAATATTTTAAACAATTTTGACACGAGTATGTAAAAACAATTATCAACATAAGGAATTATTAAGAGTTTTTGCATAAAACAAAATTTTTTAAGAATTTTAGAATTATTGGTACATTACAATTAATATATTTTCATTTATTCATTTGTATTTAGATAGTTAATTCTTTCAATTAATTCAAATCAAGTTAATTCAAACAATGATATGCATTAATTTAAAATGAAAACTTATATCATCTATAAATTTGAATAGTTTATTTTTATAATGAAATAAGTTTAAATTAAAATTATGCACGTATACACTTTTTATTATAATTCTAATTTCAATGCCTCAATCAATTAACTTATTTTAATTTAAAGATATGGGATAACATTTCTACTAATAATGATTTTTAGCAAACAGTAATTCAAAAGGAAGGTCTTTATTATTTTTTTTTTTTTAACATAGTTTTTATTATTATATAATATAAAAAAAAAAAAAAAATATATATATATATATATATATAGTAAAAAACGAAACTTATGAATATTACCAACAAATTTCATAAGTATGTATTTAAAAATCTATCATCTACAATGTAGATCATTCTTCACCAAGTCTCGGTTTGATACTTATCACTTTTTTCTAACATTCTAATATAATTTTCAGCTTTATCTTTGTCCAGTTCGCTAAAATTTTTTATTACATTTACAAATTCTTCTCTCACAGCATTAGGCATATTCTTACAATTACCCGCCAAGTAAATATTTCCATCATTCTGTAGAAAATCCCAGCAAATCTTATTTTGTTGACGAATCATGTGTTGTACATAGCTAAATAAATAATAATAAAAAGTATAATAAATTAATTCATACATTAGTATGTTTTTAATTATGTAAATTAAAGTAATGTGTATTAAAATTGAAACATTTTGAAAATATTATATAATATAATAAATATTTGATAAGTATTATAAAAGACAAATGAGAAATTTAAATATCAAGATAGATATTACTGGATGAAACATAAGCTTCGACAGACAATATTAATTAATTTTAAAATAAATAATAATATATTAAATACAATAAATAAAAAAAAAATTTTTTCTCTTTTTTTTCTACTTTTTTTTTTTCTAATACAATATAATATTTTAATTAAGAAATTATGTAATATGTTGTTTTATAAAACCCTTTCTTTAACAAATAAGTTTAATATTCCATAATGATTAGCTAATTTAACTTCAAATAATTACTTTAACTTACATTTTATCAGGTTGATCTCTGGAGAATGCACAATATAATTTCAAATTAAATTTGTCAGTTAATAAAGAAAAATCTTCTTTACAATGATAATCTTTCTCTTTATTTCTACAGCCAAAAAAAACAAGGCATGAGCTTAAATCGCCATCTACTATGGCTTTATCTAATAGTAAGGATCTAAAGGGAGCAATTCCAGTTCCAGGTCCAACTAAAATCATGGGTTTTCTGTAATTGAATTTAAATGTGCCCTTTTGTATCCAAAATATAGCTTCATCTCCTGACTTTAAAGTTGCTAACCAATTTGAACAAAGTCCAAATCTTGGTTCGCTTAATTTTGTTTTATAACGAACAATAGCAACTAATAAATGTATCTCATCTTTGGTATATTTTGAACTGGATGCAATGCTAAAAGCTCTTGGTTTTATTGGTGACATAATTTCAAAGAGTAATTTTACGTTTAGTTTGCTCGTCGTATGCGGGAAATCATTCATAACTTCAATAATATTTCTTCTTGGTCTATTTATATAATTAAACAAATCTTCTTGGCCAGCTGAAGTAGTGAATTCAAATAATTTCTCTTTCTCTAATTCATTTTCACTGATTTGTGCAAGAATTTGCATCGTTGATCTTTTAGGTTTGAAATTTAAATCCCAATATTGCTGTACTATTTGTTTTAATGTTAACTTTGGCTTTAAAACAGTTGGCAACTTTATTTCTTTTTCAGATACTTGTATTACCATATTTGGATCAATATTTACACCATTATTATTTAAAATATTAAAAAATTTATTTACTTGTTCGTCTGAATTTTTTGCTTTTATATAAATGATATCACCAGGTAAATAATTAATTTCAGGGACCTTAAATTTAATTAGTTTTACATCTTGAAAATGATCGGTGGTAGTGGTTCTGATGTTGTCAATAACTGTACCAGTAATTAGTGCATCGTTTATTTGTGTTTCATAAAGATATATATCATTTTCTGAGTTATCAGGCACTGCTTCATTTGTCAAAATATTTACATTAAACCTTTCAACTATTTCATGATCTGTAAGAATACTTTGTGACGATAAGTTATACTGTTGACATATTTCACTAAATACATCTTCTAGCCAAGATCCAAAAACAGCATCGATTCCTAAATCATGTTGATCATCAGCTAATCCAATTGGTACTAATTCAGTTGCCCCAAGTTGCAATAATCGTTTATTTAATTTTTTAGCAGCAAAATTAAATTTTTCAAAAGAGCTATCACCTAATCCCAGTACTGAGAATTTTACACTACTTAAAAAGTTGGTTGGAAGGCTTTTGCGCAGAAAGAATTTCCAAAAATTTTTCATATTGATGGGTGTGTCTCCTTGACCAGCTGTAGAAACTATAAAAATGATTATACTTTCGTTCTGAATATGCTCAATCTTATAATCATCCATTGCATCTACGCTACTCTTTAAATTAATTCTGAAAATTTATATTTATCGTTATTTATAATTTTAAGCTATTGAAATAAATTTGAAACAATTCAATGTAATAGTAATTGGTAAAATCAGATTGTTAGTGATATAAAAAAAAAAAAAAAAATAAAATAAATCAATATTATAGTTTACAAAAATTTTTAAAGTTCATATTACTTATAAAAAATTAATAAAAATATTATTGTCCTAAATTTGAGCAGAAGCAAGTTAGCAATAAATAGTAAATAGCAATGCTAGATAATTTACATGAAAAATAAACTACACTAAGAGATTGTACCTTTTGGATGTCTTCCAAATTTGTTCCGCAATATCTTGAGCAGTTCCAGTTTCGCTGCCATAAAGGATAGTGATCTTTGGTTCACTCATCTTTAAAGTATAAAGTTAAATTTGTAAACCAAAAGACTATATTAAATCGTTCTTTGCAATATAGGTGATCATGGATTTATAAGACTGCTTGCTATTTTAATCCTTGATGCTTAAACAGATAATGACATGACGTTATTCACGGAATGAGTATAAGTACATTATTTATTTGCACTAATATTTTTCTCCAAGATAAGAACATTCAATCTAGTATACCTATATTTTTTCATAATGTACATTTACTTTCTGATAAAACATCTAAACATTTTTAAAAAGATAAAATTATGTTTCCGTTCAATCTTTGTTATATTAACAACATTAATATAAAAGTTAAAATAATTGGTAGAAGAGATTTGATGGAAAAAGTGATAAATGAAAATTTATTAATATAATTACATAAATATTTTAAATTTATTTAAAATTTTTAGCCTTATTTCACATCTTTCTATACCGTTATGGCATTATTTTTGTTTGTTTGTTTGTTTGTTTGTTTGTTTGTTTTTTTTTTTTGAATGCTACAACATATTAAATTAATTAAAGCATTTTAATTCAAAATTTGTAAAGCAACGGTATACAATGTTTTAACACTAGTACGTATTGAACGTTTATGATAGATGTCAAGGTCAAAAGTCTAGGTCGAGGCCTATTTGGCTTTTGGCCCATAATTATTTATAAAGGTAAAAACAGCAATTTCTTTTACATTGATCAACTTTACCTGAAAAATTTTGGGACTTGTATTCTTAAATCGTCATGCATTAAAGTAAATGAAATTTTTATTTACAAATAGCTAAAATTTGTTTACGTTCTGTTTTCTGTTTCATGATTTTTTTGTAATGAAATATTTTCGATATTTGATATTTGGATTACGGATATAAAAAATTGCCGAAAAGCAGAGATGTAGTTGAGAAGACATTGATATAACCTAAAATTTCTCCCAGTCACTTAAAAGAAGAAACTATTTGAGGATGAATCATTCCCTTATATTCGAAGTCTATTTTTCAGTTGGTTATTTCGCTGAATTTTACCACTTTTTCTTAGAAAAGAGATTTCATTCATTGTCACGTGCGAGCGGAGATGTAGGATACACGAAATGTTTATAATGTTGGTAGTGGTGGCTTTAAACGACGGTATTATTTTAAATGTCTCAATAGTGTCCATAAATTTATATAAAATATCGTTTCTTCTGATAATTTAGATATTAAAACCGTTAATCGTGCAAATCGACAATGATTTTCGATAAAATCTCAATTTAATTATTGTTAATTTGAATCTTAATAGTAATATTTAATATGATTTTAACTTTTATTATTAATAGTAAGTTTAATAATTTGTATTACTTTACGGCTTTTTATTTCGTCAACTATCCATAAATATCCTTTTATCTGTCAATAAACAACTATTTACATCGCTTATGGTTAAAACAATACAAAATTTATTCTATAAAGTTTATAACCTTATTTATATATTTAATTTTATTAATTGCGGTTCACTTTTACGCGCTTTTTCGACGAATAAGAAAATTCTTATATATCACATATGCTTTACGAAAGTATCGCGCTCAACTTAAATATCTAATTACTTTAAATTAATTAAAAATTCCTTTAATGAAATTATTCAAGGAACTTTCCTTTCGTAGGTCAATGATATCATATAATTTCCGAAGACTGTATATTGGTATATAAAAATCGATTGGATTGCTTTCTTTTTTATACAAAAGAGATAGTTGGACACGTCTTTAGTGAGATAGAACATGACACAATTAATCGATGAGTACATTAATGACTAAGCGACGATCATAATACATATGCTTCTATCCAATAATTTTTCTGGATTGTTGTTGCAAATAATTGACTAGAAGAGAAACGTTATTATTTTGTATTTTTCAGGGGAAGGAACCCTATTAAAGGTACTACGATTAAATACAGTACTGCCAATGACAAAGTAAGTGGCTCGCGACACCGTCATTTGGTCGCGAGTGAGCGAGTCGTGTTGGTGGCCGCGCCACCGGTAAAACGGGCCGTCATACTCCTCCTCCCGCCCCGCCCCCCTCGATAGTTAGTCCAAGGAAGAGAGTGTCATCTCGGACATCAGTCATCGTCATCATTGTTCGCTTCCACTGTAACATCGGTTAACTACTGCTAACCTCCGCGCATTTGGCAGGACTGATCTGCTGGCCACCGTCACGACTGCTATCACCGCCGCCACCTCCAGCGCCGACACCTCCACCGCCGCCACCTCCACAGCCGCCACCTCCACAGCCGCCACCTCCACCTCCAGCGCCGCTACCGCCGCCGTCGCCGTCGCCGTCACTGCTGTTGTTGTTGCTGCTGCCGTCGCTGTCGTCGCTGTTGCCGCCGCCGCCGTCGCCGCCGCCGCCGCTGCTGCTGCTGCTGCTGCTGCTGCTGCTGTTGTTGCTTCTGCTGCTTCTGCTGCTTCTGCTGTTGCTGCTGCTGCTGCTAGGCTCTCGCTTTGCGGATGACTGTCAAAACTTATTTTCTTCCCGCGAACTCGTATCGCTACCTTCAGTCAAAGTTCCGCGAGTGGAGCTTCGTGCAACTGGCAGTTCGTTTCGCGATGCAAGCAGTCGTCGTCCTCGTCCTCCGGAACAGCAACAATAGCAGTTACGGAAGCACCATGACGGCGGCAAGGAGGAGCAGCAGCACCAGCGCTTCGTAGTAGTGTGCCAATGTGTGTAGTCTTGTACTAGTGGTTAGGGGATTGAGAGAAACATAGATAGATAGGTAGAGATTAACAACAACAACAACAACAACAACAACAACAACAACAACAACAACAACAACAACAACAACAACAACAACAACAACAACAACAACAACAACAACAACAACAACAACAACAACAACAACAACAACAACAACAACAACAACAACAACAACAACGACAACGACGACAAGGACAACGACGATGATGATGACGGCGACGACGAGGACGGCGATGTCTACTCGTATATAACGCGTTATACGACACAGTGTATAAGCAGTAGTGAGCGAGGCAGAGAGAAACAAAGATATATAGTAATAGAGCTGGCGAGAGAAAGAGTGAGCGAGGGAGAAAGAGTGAGCGAGGGAGAAAGAGAGAGAGAGAGAGAGAGAGAGAGAGAGAGAGAGAGAAAGCGCGAGAGAGTGCGCGAGTGTGCGAGGGAGGGGAAAGGGAGAGAGATAGATAGAAAGTGAGGAGAGCGCGATCGAGCTAGAAGAGAGAAGAAAGCGACTTGGAGAAAGAAAGCTCGTGGTCTTTTGGACTTTTTTTCTCCTTCGACGATGAACAGTAGTAAGTGTCGAGTGTTTGTTGTCAGTGTTGTTAGATCCCTTTATCATGAAGGAATTCGCGCCTCGATCGCTCGCCTCTTTTCTCGTAACGAGTGAGCTGTGTTGCGGTTTTTTTGGTGTCTTTCTTTTTGAATACGAGTGTACCCTCATACATGTATGTACGTGATGAACGCGTGCGCACCCACACCTGCATGCTTTATTGGTATACACGGGACACGTATGTGTGCTTATTTATATATATGGAACCGTTGATGGATATGTGTGCGTATTTGTGATGAGAAGTTTGCGCACACACCTGCAGAAAAGGCTGAGTGAGCGAAAAGAAAATAGAAGGGTAAAAACAGAGCCCTGGATAGTATGACTGCAAATCACTCCACTATCCATAATGGAGCAAGTAAATTCCTCGAATTTACGTGATAACGTAATGTCCGTTTGTCTGTGCTGTTCATGGTCAATCATTATAATCAATGTACCTAGCATTTTTCTCAACTTAATTTGTAAATTTTTATGGATATGATTGAAAGCCATTAATTTTCCTCTTCTGGGGCTTTTTACAGTTAAGGCTAACACTTACATGAGTGACACTATTTGATACTTTTTTCTTTTTCTTTTTCTTTTTCTTTTTCTTTTTTGAAGATACATTACAAGTACTTGCCTTTGAATAAGTTACATTATTATACTAACAACCGATTTCAATCAAATAATGTTAAAATAATGTTGAACAATTGAATTATATTAAAATGAATTAAAATCATGAATTGTCAATTCGACAATGTTTAGATAATATATATATATATATATATATATATATATATATATATCACAATTCACATAATAGGAATTAAATAATAAATTACCTTTGTGAATTAAATTGTATGATAGATTTATAATAAAAATATAGAAATAAAATATCTAACATTTAGGCAAATATTGTTAAAAGATCTTTTGTTTGTTAAAACAATACATTACCTGAATATACTAGTCGTTAAAGATAATTTATAAATATTAAACAATTCTCAATGACATAATTTGAATTAATAATTGATTAAAAATTTAATCCTATTATTTAATCTAACTTTCATCTGGAATGTTTTAACGCTAAGAATTGTAATAATTGATTATAATTAATTACTTCTTATCTACAATTATCATGTATGAAAAATTCAAAGGAGACGTATTCTTAATTATTGGCTCAAACAGTTTTTTTTATCCCATTCGAGCGATGCAAGCTTATTTTATATTTCAATAATTGTGCAATCGTGGCCCTTATACATAACAAAGTAATAATATTTGTCATGATTATATTTAATATCTATTTTTGCTGAAATTGCATCTATGATACAATAATTAGGAAAAAAGTGAAATCTCGTTACAATTATTTAATCTATAGTTCATTTTAAAATACTTCTTGTTAGGAAGGAGAATGTCTTGAAATAATTATTCATTATTATTTTAACATTTATAATTAACATAACATCATGTAACAATACAAAAATACTTAAGTAGTTTAGTAGCTTATATTCAGGGTTTGTATTGATTTTATTAAATTTTTTAAAGTTACAGCGATAGTAGTATTTATTAATGATTTTGCTATTATAGTGGATTCACGAGGATAGCAGTTTACCACTTTGCCTTGCGTAGAAGACCACAAAGAGTAAGAATAAGAACTTATCATTTGGATGAAATTTACTTATGAGTAGCTGCCAATGCTCGACTATCGCGAGACTGTGATTTCAAAGTACTTCTTCACCTACATAGTATTATAAACATTACAAATAACAATTAACTTTTATATTTTCATGGTAAATGGCTTTATTTTTTAAATTTATTATTTTGACAGCTGGCACTGTAAATTACACACTCGATTAGCTTATCGAATAGTTAGTACTAATTGAAAATATACAATTATTATGTTAAAAATTTTCTATTTCCAATTGTGAATTTCAAATTTTGCTTAAAGTATATCAATCGGTGCTTGTATTGAAGTATTTGCTTTTTATGAAGATTTCAAATTTACTTTAAAAATAAATATTGGTTATGAGTCAAAGCGCTTACGTTGTTATTTTCTTATGTTTTAGATAGCTGTTAATATACAGTAAAAACAACAGATAGCAACACCATGATCTCAATTAAGATAACTATCCCATGATGCATATTCCATTACATAACAGATTTAAGATTCGAGTACTCCCGTTGGGAAAATATTGGCCAAAGTTTTTATGGCGTAGAATAAGCGAAGATCGGTCAAAATCAAGAGAAAAGATAAAATTTGATAACATAGGCACAAGAAATTATCTATAATCCTAGAGTTTATTCGAATTATATTGAATAACTTAAGGGTGAGTGAAGCTATGATTTTTTAAAATTATATTTAACGTAGAGGGACATTTTGTAAAGTATTTTCAACAGTAATACATTGGAACATTAGAATGTAGTGAAAAATTCCAACGTTCAATTATGGTATTGAATTTTATTTGTGGTATAGTTATAAAAAATTCTCATCAATTATAAACTCGGGGCCATTTTATACTCATTTTTATTCATGTTACCCATTGCATCGAGAGGCCAAATCAATTATAAAAATCGGTGCTTCATTAATAAAACTAATCCTCATTAATTTTCTATTGTACATGCTTATATAATAAGTATTATTATAAATACAAAATTTTGCATTTTTTAGGCTATAACCTGGCACAATAAACCAAGTGTTATTCTGAGAAAATGAATAGTCGCCTCGGTGAGACAGAGTCAAAATGGACCTGTGAATACTGTACCTATGAGAATTGGCCATCATCGTTGAAATGTACAATGTGTAGAGGCGCTAAACCATTATTAGGTGAAGATATTTATCGATTACGAGATCCAAGCCCACAAAGATCTAGTTCTAACGTAGCATCTGGTCCAGTGCCACCAGCTAGTGATTCATATAATTTAGGTATGAAATCGTTTATTGAACTCACGAAACTGTAATTGTTTGTAAAAATTTTTCCTATATTAAATGAGAGCGTGTTGACAATTTATCTTGCTATTCTAATAACAATCTACACCGTTACAAAGGATATATTGATTAAAATTAAGTGTAATGTTTAAAAATTTTGAATAACAGTCTGTTTGATTTGTTGCATAAAAGCATCATTTATTATCATTTTCATTTAACGTATATTTTCATGTTAAGCATTCATGGAATTTTTATTCTCGCAAGATCAATATTATAAGAAAAGTATTTATTGCTTTATTTCTACAGTTATTATGAAAAATATGTTAGTAAGATATTGAATTGCAGATAAATCATAAGCTTTCGCACTCAGATGGGAATCAATGCATCATGTTACATCATTGTTAATTAATAATGAACAGCATATTCTTATATACTAGAGATAACTATATGCAAATATACTTATCTCTTTAGAGAAAGTTGAATTTAGATAATGTTGCAATAAGAGAAAAGAAATAATTCGAGAAAGTGCGTATCTACTTATGTATTGAAACTCGATAACTATCATCTATTACACTTGCAACTCCGTACGCGAATATACTTTCTCGCATTATTTTTTTTAATCTTTTATCGAGTTGCTTTTAACTTTCTCCAAGGTTAATCAGATCAACTTCTTATTTATATTTATTTTTTTTCTCTTGCATTAATGTAGATTATTAGGACCGTACGTAGTGGAGTATAAATTATTGATAAAAGCTATTGAATAAAATTTTCATTTCAAAGAACTTAGTTTACAAATAATGCTATTATATATATATATATATATATATATATATATATATATATATAATAGCATTATTTGTAAACTAAGTTCTTTGAAATGAAAATTTTATTATATATATATATATTTTTATTTTATAATATTATTATATTATAATTTTATATTTTATAATTTTATTATATATATATATATATATTATTATTATTAGTATTAAACTTTAATAGCATTATTTATGAGTAATGTCGAGTTGTATTTAATAGATAAAAGATTTGATAAAAAAAAAAAAAATAAATATTCCCTTTGAAAGCTTCATTAAATTAACGAATATGCTTATTTAAAAAAACATATACATAAATATACATAAAGTTATTATTAAATGTATATAAAAATTAAATATTATATACGAATTTATTAATATTGTTTAACAAATTCGAATAAATGCTGTAATAGCATATTTATTATCAATTGCAATTAATTTCAAGTAATTTTTACTTTAACAAATGAAATAGCTCTCCTATACTTTCCTTTTAAACAAATTTATCATGCGACAGAATTATCGTTTATTCAAAGGCATGAGATAGATTTGTATTTCTGATGAATTGCTATGACTATATTTAATAGTATGCGATATTATATAAATAAATAATTGCAAATATAAATTATAAATTGTTGGCCCCGATAACTTCTATTATAAGCAGCATTCAAATTAACTTCTCAAAATGCCTGTTTCTTCTTCGAGGGTAAAATCGAGCGACTCGGCGATTCAGCCATTTGATGAGAAAATTCTACTTAAACATCCACAGGCTCGCAAAATTATAGTCAGAATGTACCATCAGCCGGAAAATGGTATTGCGACGCATGCACTTATCTCAATTATCAGAACGCGACTCGCTGCACGCAGTGCGCAAGCCGCCGACCCTCGTCCACGACAGCGATGCCGGCAACGGCACTTCAAAACAACCAATCGATAAACTTCGTAGCTTCAAATCTTCACGAGCACTTCGCCCCTTTGCGACTCGGCGATGCACCGTCACCGCAGACAAATTCTCAATGCAACACACCGACGGTACGTTTATTAATATTTGTTAACGTTGCGCACCGTAACGTTCGTACTCGAATCTATGCAGCGATAGAAATTAAATGTGTGTACATCTTTTTAGCTTTACATTAGTACTTTGGGATCATGTGTGAAAAAAATCCTCGTCCTTTATGTTATAAATAAAAATACAATCTATATTCATTTGTATGAGGGTTTTTTTATTATTTTTTTTTTTTTATTTAATTTTATTTAATAGAAGGTATTTTTGAGTTTAATATATTTTCATGTAACGTAAGCAGATAAACAGTAGTCTTCAATTTCAATGTCTATCTTGAATTTAAAGGAAAAATAATATATTGAATGCTATCATTTATCAGAAATAATTATAATAAAGATAATAAATATTTTTATTAATTATCAAAGTAATATTTCCTTCATTATTTGTATTTTAGTAATGTACAAATGTATCATTGTATATTATTAATACGCAATTATTCGCATTTGTTTGCCTCTTTACATGAGAAATACAATGCTTAGAATATTTTTTGAAATAAGCGATAAAATAATTTACTTGAAGTAATTGATATGTTATTCTGTAAGAATATTGTCATAATTGTAAAAAATTTAGGTAAAATCAATTTTTTTAACATTTATACACTTGTCCTTATTATTATTATTATTTATCAATATTTAATGGATATCTACAAATTTTTTTAATGACGTTCCTATTTCGTCTCATATCATTAATTTTTTTGCGAAATATTTTTGTGTTATTTATCTTAAGATACTTTTTTCTATTAAATTTTAATTTGCTTAAATTTCTATTGTTAATCCGTGTGCTTTCATTTTATGTCCTATATTTTATAATCAACATTTCTTATTTGTATTCCCATACAATTGTTTATTTGTGTATATTATTTATTTATATTTTGCACGTTATTTACATTTAATTTTCACACCGACTCTGTTAACACATAATTTACATATATAAATCAAGGTCCTTTTTTTATTAATTTTTTTCTGCTATTGAACAATATTTATAAATTATATTAATTTATTTTGTTCTACCATGTAGCATCCAGTGCCTTACAATATTCTTTAAAAAAAAATATACTCGTCCCGTGTTAAATTGTTTCTTATTTTTTCATGATTATACGACTGTGATTAACATATTTCTTATATTGATTAACCTATTTTTTCTTTTTTAATTTTTATTTTTTTTTAATATTAAAAACGTTCAATAAGAAAAAATCTGTAAATTTTTCATTCTTTCTTATATCCATATCGTTTACATGGAACCAAACGCAATACTATTCGCCAAAATTCCATATTTTATTTGCTTACTTATAATAAGAACTTACGTTCTTTATAATAATTGAATATATCAAGTATTTTCTGTTTATAATTACTGCACTAAAGTTTCAAACAGATACGAAATTTAAAAATGTCCTTTTTACGCTAGATATTATTCTTATTTTACTTTGAAATTTCCGCCTCTTTTTTCCACTTGGCTTTATCAATTACATATTGATCAGTCAGTGCTTTATATATGTTTTCTATTTTTCGTATGCGAAGTATAACATTTATTGGAAATAAAATTGCATATATAATGTCAATAAAATGTAATCTAAGAAATATAAAAAACAGTTGCTAATGATTAATTAGATCAATTATAGTTATCAAATGAATGGCTTTGTTATTAAACGTCATTGCTAATTTTTAATTAAAGATAAAACAATTTTTTACTTAAATACTAATGATTTTATGCAAAATATTATGCATATCAATATTTTAGTTAGATTTTTAAGGAGTATTTATTCTACTGATAGTATATTCTTTTATTCATCATGTCCTTCGCTAAATCTTTGTAAGTTGTCTGCAAATTCTGAAGATACGTCCTATCATTCATTGTATCTATCGTAATAATTATCGATTGTTTACTCAGTCTTTTTTGTTAACGCAGTTACTACATTAAAAAAAAAAAAAAAAAAAAAAAAAAATTAATTTTGTAATATATACTTTATTTAATGAACTGAATGTATTTGTATATTTTTCATCTATTATTTATACGATCTTATGATCGTTACATTTGGATTTCACGTCAATATTATTTCCCGACCTACTTTTTTCGCAGTTCTATTTAATTCTAACTTGAAAGTTCATTTACGGCATTTCCCCCTAATTTGCTCAATTTTATACTACCATTTTCTTGAATTTGTCTTTTAATTTGTATGATCAACTCTTAGAGTTCATTCATTTACTGTCTAATATTGTTTTTTTCTTTATATCTAATCTTTCATATTGTTTCATTGAATTATTTACATATTTTTAGACATCATGTATCATTTATCACACGCGATGTTTCTCAACTCACTCTACATCGCTCGTCTTCTCTCGTCTTAGAGACTTTCTCTTTAAAAATCGTCCACTTATCCAATAAATTGACATAGTTTTGTTAATTAAAATTGAAATTTAAAAGACTTATCGCGCGATAGTATCAGATTTTTGCTCAATTGCTCAATCGTGTGACCTAAAATACAGATTATGTTTCTTTAGCAGATAAATCTGAATGTAAATTCAGAAAGATGTCAATCGAGGAATAATTCGGGTCAGCAGCAGCAACAGCAGCAACAGCAGCCACAACAGCAACAACAGCAGCAACAGCTGCAGCAACCGGATAAGTGGTCTTGTCTGGAGTGTACTTATGAAAACTGGCCGAAGTCGGTAAAGTGTGTGATGTGCGGTCACCAGAGGGAAAGGGAAAACTAACACGACGAACACGAGTCTTATATTGCCGAGCCCTGACAGAGACATACGTAATAATCATCCGCAACGAGGCCTACCGTCACCACCTCACACGCCTTATATACATCAAGCGCAACGCGACGAGAACGTTGCGATCGCCAGGCGGTATGCCTATATACTCCTTATTATTTACTTGACTGCACATCCAAAGTCCTAGAGCCTGATTTTCAATGTCATCTTATCGTTAGATTACGCGATTTGAAAATAATTTCACATACCTCTTAATCTGTCGCGAAAGCAAAAATCATAATTCGAAATACATTAACAAGCCGTGTATATTGTTAAAGATAATTTTCGTATTTGTAACCAAATCGTAATTGTTGATTGTTGCTTCCATTGAATTGATCTACGTAAGTAAACGATACCTACGTACTAATAGATTCAAGTTTTTCGGAAGTAACTTTAAAGATTTACGGTTTTGTAAGAAGAATGCGACCAATTTATGTCATTAGAAATTTAAAACTAAATTAAAGATCTGCATTTATATATAAGCCGTTGTTGAAATGCATCACAGGAGCTCTCACAGGTACGATGGCAGAAATGACAGTCTTCCTATGCCGCAATCCCCTAATAATTGCGACTATGAGCGCAGGCTCAAGCAGCTGAGGCGTCACACGGACTGGTGCTGGTTAAATGCCTGCCTTGGCATTGTCGAGGGTGACAATGCACCCGTTGAGGCGTATCTTGCTAGCGGCGGAGATCCGGCGCGACAATTAACGCATTCCGAGGTTTTACTACTGAACAGAAGCAGTGCTTTTGACATAGGACACACCTTAGTTCATTTAGCTATTAGGTGAGTCTCGTATGTTCTTTTCTTGAAAAAAAAAAAAAAAAAAAAGAAGAAAAAGGTGATTCATCGTTCCCACACTCTGTATAAAAAGCATTGCCTTTCTTCGCACACTGTTTATAGAATTTCTAAACCAACTATATATATATATATATATATATATATATATATAGGGGCGTGTGTACGTGCGTGCATGCGTGCATGCGTGCGTACGTACTTCAGATTTGTTCGAGAAAAATAAACTGGTAGTTATATGAAAAGAAAAATTAATTTAAAGGTTCGAAATATATAATAACGTTTAAGCTATTTGTTTATTAAAAAAATCAGTTATACGTGAACATTTATCGTTATCTTGTTTAATGGAATTTATATTATAGCTTCTTTAGAAGTTACGATGAAATATTTTTCGATTATATTATTTTACATAAAAACATTTAATGTACAATTATTACACCCATCATCCAATACTTTCAAATATTTCTTTCCTATAGAAGCGATTGTAATTTTTCTAGCTACAAATATCCATTATCGAATAAACAAATTATAATTTTTATTTTGAGAGCTGCAAAGTATTTTGATATAATATTTTTTAAATAGTTTTTAATGAATTTATGCTTATAGAATGGACATTTTTATTAAAAAAAAAAAAAAAAAAATGAAGAAGCTGGATTTAACTAGTATAATATTTTTTAATTTTATATATTTTTATATGTGTATTTTTCTTTTAATAGTATTATATACAAATATTTAATTATCCTTAGCATTTATCTAGTATATATAAAAAGAAAATACATTTTTGTTTCAATTTAATTATTCACATTCAAATTGAAAATTTTATTCGTTCATATAGTTTAATATAACGTAAGAAATTTTAATAAACGGGGGTGGTAAATGTAATTTGTTTAAAAAAGTATATATAATACGATATTATTTTATTACAGTGTAATAGTTTAAAAGAACAATTTATTTTATAAAGATATTTATAAAGATTATTGAAAAACAATAATTAAAATCAAGAAATATGGCCCTTTTACAATTACAATATGGTTAATTTGTTTTTTGTGTTATTAAAAACAAAAAAAGTACGAATACATTTATCATACATTATGGGAAAGTATTTTTTTTTTTAAATAAATAAATTTTTAATTTAAGATTATTATTGATAAAATAATATAAATTGAGTATATTAAATTCATATGATTTATTTTTGTCAAATTATTTTAGTATAAATATTTTATCAATAATAAACAATTCGTATTGTCCAACAGGTACGTAATTCGTGTTATTCGAAGCGTGTTCACACGATCATATTGAGTAATCCATAAATCATTATCGAGTTAAAATTTAAAATCATCATAAATATATGTTTTTATAAGTTATCTTTTTATATTTGTAATTATAATTCTAGTGTATGACATTCTCTCATCATAAATATATGTTTTTATAAGTTATCTTTTTATATTTGTTTTGACCTTTGACCTTTGCTATTTCATTTAAAAATACAATTGTTGGTCAGGAGACAATATATAAAAAAAAATTTTTGGCAATTCTGCTATTATATTTAAACTACTGTTAGCGTATTCAATACACGCAATTAATCTTATATATATTTCATTAATGAAACTATAAATGATTGAAAACAATTATTTTAATTATTAAATACATTTTTAATAAATAAATTTTTTTTTGTTTGGAGTAGGGGAAAGTAATATAGCAATTTTTAAACATATTTTATTGATGAATTTTCTTCTCTTATAGCCTCTTATTCTATATTTTTTTTTTTTTTTTTTTTTTTTTTTTTTTTTTTTTTTTTTTTTTAAAGCAAATATTTAAGACGAGCATTATCTTGTTTACTGTATAGTGAAAAATAAGATTGATTTAAAGTCCAAAGAGCTCTTGGTAATTGTGATTATTACGTATAATTTTATTGAAAATATAACACGATTGTTTAGCGAAGCTCACATTATTTAAAAACTGCCTTACTAAGTAATTATTAACTATAATATAAATGCTTTTGTATGAATATTCATGCCTATTTAGTATGTACGATTATTTTTCTCATCTCCGTTATCGCATATATAATTATAACTACAATGAAAGCTATTGTTATTAACAGGAGCATTGAGCGTTACATATTTTTAAAAATTCTTTCTTTATGTCACGGTAGTTTCGTTGATAAGCTTTTAAAATATTTTAATCGACAATTTAATGTCGGATTTTACGTGGTCTTATTTGTCGGCCAAAATGAAGGTATTGGCACGTAGATACTATACTACTTTTAGATTTTCAAAATAACACGACGAATGTCGATAAAATATTTTCAATATGATGTACTTTTTTTGTTGTTTTTTTCTTTCATTTTTGTTGTTGTTACATTAACTTTTGTTTGTCTGGTTTTCCATTATTTCTTGGACGAGTTTATAATTTATTTTTAAAACATGAATAATAAATTATAGTAAATTTGTATTTACTCATGCTTAAGACAGTACGAATAAATTATTTCTCAAGTGGGCGTATTAAGTATATCATATACAATTATTTAGAAATCTATGTACACATTTTCCCGATAATTATATAAATAATTTATTTATGAAAGGAGTTTGATAAAATGCAGTTGAGTGTAAAAATGTACGTTTTCTTAAAAACAATACTTCAAACAACAGGTAATTTTTATTTCAAAATAAATTTTTCTAGTTAGCGATTCTCATATCGAATGAAGTATTTTTGTATTTTTTTCTTCAAATATTAGACAATAAATGCATTGCCTTAAACGAGCAATATTTTTCTTTGTTAAGTAATAAATTATTTACAGTTTTTATTATACATTTATTTGCGACTTTCAACGACTTAATCGAAGATAATACATTTAAATTTGTATTTGAACGAGCATTCGAATTTATATTCATATAAAGTTTCAAGGCTAAATGCCGAAAAAGACTTTTGCGTTGGAACAGAAGGTAAAGTAAGTATTGGTGAGTCTGAAGAATTACACAAATACTCTTAACAATTTCGTCATTAGACTCATGAAAAGGTCAGCATTGTATTTTCAATGTAGCACACTAAAATTCATATATTTGACTCGAATATTTTTGGCTTACTACCTAATGAACAAATTATAATGACGTATTTAATTTTTACATTATTATTATAAGCTTCAAATAAATTATCCACCCGAGATATATGCTTGTCCATTAAAAGTCAGGTTACTCCCAATATCCAGGATTGGATTTATGGAGCGTTAAAAACTCGGTCCTTACCTAATCGACTCTTCTTCTTCCCCATTGTATTTCAGGTTTCAAAGGGAGGATATCTTGGCGACACTGTTGTCGCAAATCGAGGGTTCGGGCTCTGGTATCAAGAGGGTGCCGAGCTACGTAGCGCCGGATCTCGCGGCTCAGATCCGCCGTCACGTGACCAACAGCATACGCATGAGGAAAGGCTCTTTCCCCTGCTACTTTGTTACGGATATGGTGACCTTCGCCTTGCCTGCAGAGGTAATGGTAAATCCTTGTTTTAGACGTTGATAATTTGAGTGCTGAATAAACTTGGCGCTCAGCCATTTTCTCGACACGCTGATGTAGACTTGGTCGGTATTTCAGCACTTTGTTTAGTTCTCCATTTATCAGGTTTTGCTTTGAACATTAATATTTCTCATTCACTTTTCACGTTGTGAATGTTGGGGACGTGTCCAAAAGCTCGTGCGTAATTATAAAATGATTAACCGTTTTATATATGCAGTTATGTAGGCGAAGTGATTTATGGCGGTCTGCAAAGTTGATGTTTATCTAAAATTTAAATAGATCTTTCAAATTATCTGTAACTTGTTGATTATATATATATATATATATATATATATCTATATATATATATACAATATGTCGGAAGTTTCAGAACGTAATATTCTTTATATCAATAGCAATCAATAATTTTTTTATTACCTCGTGATAAAATATATTTTAAGATATATTCTTTTTCTTTTCTAATTCTACGTATAAAAGCTATCAAGTATGAAAGTTTTGATTAATATTTTTGTTACGTAACTGCAAAGAAATTCAAAAAGATTTATAAGGTGAGGTCTTATTTTTGCTTTTTTTTCTCTCTATCAATAAATAAATAAATGCCTTTTCTATAATTTTTATCTTTGATAAGATCTTCATTCGTTTAAAGAGAAAATGTTAGGAACGAAACTTAAGAAACGGAATCAAATGCATTCATTATTACAGTTTCATCGCTGTTGTATTTGCCGTGTCGATATTTGTCATTACTGCGCCAATTTGTATCATTTAGAAATGATACAAATCTATCGCCACCTATTATTATTGTTCTCCGCAAATAATACACTTTGCAAACGTTTTAGGTCGAGGATCTCCCGAGCATCGTACAAGAGCAGATGCTGGAGGAACTATTGGATCGAGAGGCGCAGCAACAGTTGGAGGGTGGTGGGGGTGAACCGCCGGCCCTTAACTGGTCGTTGGAAATTACCGAGAGACTCGGGAGTCGTCTGCATGCACTATGGAATCGCTCGGCTGGCGATTGCCTTCTCGATTCCGTCATGCAAGCTACTTGGGGCGTTTTTGATCGGGATAATGCACTTAGACGGGCTCTCGCCGACACGTTGCAGCAAGCTGGTCAATTGTGAGTGCTTAATCGTTACAAGCTCCGATCAACTTCGACGCCTATTGCTCATTACGATTGCTTCATTCTCCCACGTATTCTTAAATACACTAATTTCTCGAATTTTGAGAGCTTCTCGACGAAAGAGATTCAATAATAATGCAGAATAATTGGATTCTTATGTAAAAGTTGATGCATTATGTCGAGAGAGTAAAGTAAAACAAAAGTAAAATAAAAATAAGCTCTTAACCTTGTGCGGCAGAGTTGTATTGTCAATACTTTAACATTACTACATCGTTGGGCGTAGAAAACAAACAAATTTTTGTACAAACGTCTCGAGCCCTATGATCGCGATATTAAAAGGCTTAATCTCATTTGTTCGTTTCTCTTTTAATTAGGTTAATTTGCAAATTGATTCATGTGCACCTATTTTTTTTTTTTGTATTGCACCTAAATTTTATAGGAAACTTAGAAAAATATTAAATATATAATTTTTCCCATTAATGGCCATATAAATAATATGTCTTTTTTAAAATAACACAATACATGAATATAAAAGGATATAAAGAAATCAATGTTTGAATATTGCTAACAACATTGCTGATTTGTTTTTAATGTGATATGGCAATTACTATCTCGTGCAAAATATTTTAGTTTTTATCCTCGTTGGCGGGAATACGAGGCATCGCAGGCTTCCAGAATGTTAGACTTTACTCTTGAAGAAACTCAATGGCAGGAAGATTGGGAGAATCTGCTGGCGACAGCTGCCCAGCCTGGAAGTGCTTTAGAACAACTACACGTGTTCGCTTTGGCTCACATATTAAGACGACCAATTATTGTTTATGGAGTTAAATACGTTAAAAGTTTCCGCGGCGAAGACATAGGTAAATCTATCAATCGCTACAATAATTAATTTCATTAACAATATTTTGTAAGTCCTAGATGTGATTTCATTTGCTCGGTTTTATTATTATTATTATTATTATTATTATTATTATTATTATTATTATTATTATTATTATTATTTAGTAGTAGTAGTATTATTAGTATTATTTTTCTAATTATTTTAAAAGATTGATCGTTTTATTTTTTTCTATTTGAAATGATCGCTTGCAATTATACGTATTAATGTAAGATATATAACTAAATAGCGAAAAAAAAACCGAGGAAACTAAACGTACACGTCGTTTTAGGTTACGCAAGATTCGAAGGAGTTTACCTACCTCTTCTTTGGGAGCCCTCTTTCTGTATCCGCTCGCCGATAGCCTTAGGCTATACTCGGGGCCATTTCACGGCCCTTGTGCCAATCGAGCCGTATTCCTCGTCTCGGATACCCGCTCTCGCCTCGCATCACGTTGGCGTGAACGTCGTCGGGGGCGGCAATGGTCCAATGCAGCAATTACAAATGCAAACGACCTTCATGCCGCTGATGGATCGTGAGCGCAAGCTTTTACCTATTCACTTTTTGAGTCCGGAAGAGATGGGCCGCGAGGAGACAATACTCAAGCAATGGCTCGATGTTTGCACGACCGAAGGGGGCATTTTAGTTGCGCAGCAAAAACTTCATAAAAGGCCGCTCCTCGTCGCACAGATGGTCGAGGAATGGCTCAATCATTATAGAAGATTAGCGTGAGTAAAATAGAGGACAAAGGTTGTTATTAGATATTGACTTATAGGTGGTCCATGAGTTTTTTGGATGAGCGAAGATTCTAAATCTGCTCTTTTGCGTTTACAATCTACAGCAGAAATTATTTATATAACACGACGGATTTGAATGATAACTTTTAATCTATATCGGTTAATATTTACACGAGTTTCATTTCATTTTCTTATTCAATAGCGTCAATTCAATATTTCAAACATTAACTATTAGAATAATTATTGATAAACTTAATATTAATCTTAATAATTGGATGGCATGGAAAGTAGTATTGTTCTAACAAAATGTATTCGTCATTAATAACGATATCAATATTACCTTTAATATTGTAATTATTTATAATATAAATAGTTAAGAAAAGAGAATAATTAATTATGGCAAGTTTCTTTAATCGTTAGAGCTTCTTAATAATTAATTAGCTAGTGCGTTCAAAATCTTATTTTGTAACGTATAATAGCAATATTTATAACCTTTTTACAAACAGTAATATAAATTGAACTTGAAATTGATTTATGAAAATTGAGTAGGACAAAATTTTATTGCAAAATCTTAATAATAATGTTATTAAGTTGAAGCCATTTTAAGAGAGTGCTGATTTTGAAATTACTTTAAATAATATTCTAAATTTTCTTCTATTCAGCTATTTACCAAATTAATTAAAACCAATATAATTATCAACGTAATTATAATAAAATTCATTAGATGTAAAGTCAACGTCTAAAAACATTGAACAAACTGTTTACAAGAATATATATGGCTTTTGTATCTTAATTTTGTTTTTTGAATAATGTATACATTTTAGAGCTTTGCTCTTTCGGAAACTTGAGGCTACCCCAAATTGGTATAGGGTTATGATATTAATTAATGACTGTTTGTAACTCTTACAAAATAATAGCGTAATTAGTCACATTAAGCCGGAATTAATAACAAAAAAACAATAATTATGTCAATGTGTGTTGTGTATATTTGTTTGATTTTATGTATGTATTTTCGTAAAGTCATTCATTATTCATGTACCCTATACATTGAACTTTGCTGTAATTAATTAAAAATCTTTTTATATTTTTCAGTCAGATGAACGAAGCACCATTTTCGAGAGCTCTTGCTCTGCAGGATTATAGTAGTGATGGCGACACCGAGGACGAGTAATGCGTTAGTGCAAAATAAAAGAAAACCGATATATTAAATTTATTATCGAGTCTACACGGATAAATGCCTATTTGCAAATCTTTTTCGGTACGTTTTCATTTGACGCGATCGCTGAAAAAGAATCAAAGAAAAAACAAAGATTGCCAATCTCGACAAAATGTTGCCCAAATAAAGTCAACTTGAAGTTTAGAACTTCGATTATTAAACTTATATTATTCATAAGAAAATGTTGAACGTTTTTTCGGTAACTTGCTTCACTGATATTACAATATTTTTTATTTACTAATAACTAATAGTTGTTATTGTTAGCCTGATCAACTCTTTTATCGTTACTTACGATTCGAATAAAATACAAAACGTTAGTGTTTACACAAACGAATACATAACAATATAGGAACATAGCGATTATTTTTTTTTTAAAGTATTGAAAATTAAAAATTTTAAAAAATATATTTCACATTTATTTATATTTATAAACAAAGTAAAATAATTTTTTAACGTGTTTTTAAAAGATTGTGAGATATTGTTTATTTTCTGAAGTATTTATTGAAATAAAAAGAAAAAGAAAAATAAATGGTAGTATGAGTAAAGCAGGACTCTGAAATTCATTTATAGATGTTAAGGAAACAACTTTATATAATACTTCAATATTCATTTATTCGTACGATTAATTATATATAAAATAATTTGAAATAATTATTTTATTCACTTCTGAACTCAGTTTGGTATATTATGCATTACACACAGATAGAAAGAGAGAGAGAGAGAGAGAGAGAGAGAGAGAGAGAGAGAGGTGGGTGGGAGGGTTTTAAATATTATTTTTTATTTTTTGCTTTATATAGCTTAGGCATAATATCCTCAGATTAACAACAACAACGACAAACAAAAAATAAAATAAATGGTTGAGGTTCAAAATCTAAATTCCATTAGGGATTATACTGGTGTTTCAAAAATTATAACCGAAATGTAAACAGTAACGTAAGATTTGCAAACCAATTACTATTAACGCTATAGGCGTTTCTTTAAATCCGTGATGAGCTTGAGTCGCATATATCTTCCGACGAGCCATTTCATCTCATTATGTCTATGACTATGGGAAAATTTGTTGCTAAACAATAACTAAATTTATCATATGAAGGATGTAGAGGCTTGAAGGGATGTATCTAAGCTTCTTTTTATTTATTTATTTTTTTTTTTTTTTTGTTTGTATTATATAACGAAGTTAAGTGATGCGAAATTTTGTCTAGAAATACGCACATCGAAAGAATATTCTTTTCATTAAATATTTTTTTCTTATTGATCGTAGAAGATAAATCTGTAAATTAATCAATCTAAGACTTAACGATGTTAAATTATATTTAAATTTAAAAAGTATTTATTTACCTAGTACACAAGTTACGATCAATCTGTAAATTGATATTTATTGAATGCAAAGAGTACTCGTTTTCTAATAGTGCGGTTATTAATTGTAGACTCAGAAAATTAAATAATGTATTATTGTTACTGGTTCTCATTGCAAATTTAATGTCTTACAAGCGCTTCTCGTTAAATTAGCTCTTAAACAACCAAACGGGTAAGCAACAAAAGAAAATAAATGCAAAATCGCAAACAACGATGTCAGTTTTAGTAGCAAAAATAAAGTATTCAAGAAAAGTAAATAATACGAATGATTATCAAATTACTTCCGTCTAATTATATTTTGCAAAATAAATTATACAGAAAAACTATTTAACTTGTCGAGTAAATCTTTTATAGTTTAACTATTTTAACGAATGAATAATGAATAATTACGAGTAAAAACCTTCGATTTATCGAAGTGTCAAATTTACTTTTTAATGATTCTCATGCAAAATTTCAAACAAAATTGTCAACAAACTGTCCAAAAAATTGCATCAAATTTTGTGTAATTTATTTTAATTTATTACGATCGATGAGCCATTTATTTGAAATTTTGTAAAATAGTTTTTTGATTTAAGATAATTACTCATTATTCAAACGCGAAAAATGTAACGATCAACTGAAAATTTATACACGACATTAAAAAGTTCAAAGAATATTCAAAAGGGCGTAAATAAGAGTTGGAGAACCTGTATAAAGTGGAGTTTATAAAGACAAGAAAGAAAAGCCCTTAGTAATTTGTATAGATAAACACTAATGTAGACTATGGGTATGTGTTTTACAATTAAATGATCGCTTGGCTAAACGATTAAACCTTAATCAAAAGAGTACAAAAAAGCAAAAAAAAAACAGGAAAAAAAATATGAAGGTGGAACTTGGTTGCTTACAACGTTGTTACTTGTACCATGCTTATATAGTTTTTAATTCTACATCTGATTGAGTTACGACTAACTCAATTTTTGAATGGTCCAACGCTGAGTTTTTTTATTCGCTAGAAAAGTGGCTATTGTCTATCGCTTTGGAGAGCACACTTTCCGTTTGTTTGAATGAAAAATTTGTTTTCATTAGTAGTCCTATATATTTGTACATTAGAGTATATTAGAGTATACGGTTATACTCGTGAATTTTTTTTATAGAATATAAATTAATTTTTATCATAATGATTACAAAAATATAAACGTAAATTCTGGAGATTTATCATATGGTTTTTCATACTGTTGGTATTTTTTTTTTCATATTTTTTTTTAATAAGGATTATAGGAAGGATAAAAAATATTTTATGGTTTTTGTATAGTAGTACGATAATTAAAGTTTCTCATATTGGTAATTTGTGTAATAAAGTTAATTTTAATGTGAAATATAGGGCACAAATAAACGAGAGTGTTCATTTCAAAGTGATGGAGTGTATCCATGTGTGATTTAATAGAGTATATACCTAATCAATTGAATAAGAATAAAAATCCTCCAAAAATCAAATGTAGTCCTTTGTCGTCCCTCGACTAAAAAAATCAACTCTAAAGTAGCCTCTAGTCCTTTAGCACTATTATCGTTTTTTTCAATTATAATTGATTGCGATTTTATTGCGTATCTCAATAAGGTGACAAAGAAAGAAGGGTGACAAAAGAAAGGGAAGGGAGAGATTTAAGAAATAAATAAATAAATAAATAAATAAATAAATATATATGTGTGTGTGTGTGTGCGAGCGCGCGTGCGTGTACAATATATACACGCATGCATGCATATAAATATGAATATTGGTGAGCGCAAACACGCATACGCACACGCACACGCGTCTACACGCATTGTTGTTGAAACGAGAAAATAAGGAAATGTTAAGAAAGAAAAAGGAAAAAAAAATGCTTTCCCTTCTCTTGTTTATTCCCTTGAATGCCCGTCAATCTCTTAATTCGTATGAAAATAAATAAAACAAATATGATATGTAATGTTATAACATGCCTTGCACATTGTGGTAATTTTCTGCTGGCTAAAAGATAAAATTGAAAGGCAAGCGATTATTATATCGAGTGGCACCGAAGAGCTGTAAATTATAATTTATAATGAATTATGAAAAGAAAAAAAAATTATTGTCCGATTGATTAAGTGTTTTTTGCGTGCGCTCGCGTTGTCACGCAGTTTTCTGTCTGGCAAGCGTTATGTGCGACAATTATAAAGAGGTTTTAACGAAGAAGAATTAAAGAATGAGAAAAAGAATAAGAAAATTTAATGGAGTAAAAAGTAAAAGAGAAATCTATATTAATATAGAAATATATGAAATTGATTATATTGAATAATATATCGATGTAAAATAATTTTGGAAGACAATTGAATGATTTATTAGTTAGTAATTACTACTACTACAATTATATCGTCGTACTACTATGGCCATTGCCACAACCACGTGATAAAAATGAGAGATAATGATACATATTTAATGGAAACTTTGAGGAAGATACCATGAGCGATGTTTTTAATAGTGGCAGCCAATAAGTTTGATAAGAAGACAAACCACTTAACGAATGTTAATATTCTTGCTGTATAGTGAAAGTGTAAGACAGTGGTTTTAAATTAAAGTTATAAGTCACTATAGTTTTCCGGAACATTTAATTTTCACTAAATAAAATCATTTTTGAATTCGTTTAAGCATTTATGGACAGCTTCACCTTTTTAACTGAAATCTCCTATCCTTCAATCGTTGCGTGATCACCTTTGTGAGTCGACTCTTAGTATTATTTTGCTTTAATTTTTTTTTTTTTTTTTTTTTTTTTTTTTTTTTTTTTTTTTTTTTTTTTTTTTTTTAATCGATCGAACGTCTAATATGTAATATGAAAAATTTAAAAGGTTTTAAGTTCTTTTATACTTTTTCTCTTGTAATTTTATTATGTTTGTTTAGCATTTTTATTTTTAAAAAGCTTGTACTTAAGTTGTTTTTTAGATAATATATATAAAAATATATATATATATATATATATATATATATATATAAATTAAAAAAACAATATTATATTTATTATTTGATGTTGAATAATTTTATGTACTTCTATGAAATGAATCCCGTAATAAATATATTATAGTAATAAGTGACTATTAAATGTTTTATTTCTCAATCGATAAGCTAAACAATTAAAAATCACAGATTTAGTAAGATAAAGATAAAGTATTTAATATATGTAAAATAAATAATTTTGTGTTTTAATAAACAGCGGTACGATTATCGTTTATTCTTTTAACAGATAATAGAAAGAAAAAGATAAAATTACGTATGTACTATTTATTATATTGCAAAGCAAGACTTTATTGATATTTTTTTCATTTATTTGTCAATTATTGTATTGATAAAAAGCCTATTTAATGATGAATTTATGTTATAAAGAATTTCCGATATTCACAACTATTGCATAGAATTAAAAATAATATTTAATTTTCAATTAAATTTTTAGAATATCTTGCTGTTTAATTAATTAAAATAGTTGATAAATTAAACGTACTGGAAATGAATTGCGTGCAATGAAATTTTAAATATTTTGTAACTGATAAAGGCTTTCGTGTATTATTAATAAGTAATTTTATTACGTAAACTGCCTTGTAGTTTTTAATATTTTGTCATTGCAGAGGAATTTATTAAATGAGTTTATCTATATTCTTTGGGTGATGATAAATCAATAATGTACAGTGACGTAAGGAATTATATCGCTACAACAAGAATTGAACACGTAACTAATTTTTAATATACGTTGACAAATAAATCGTGTTAAAGCTTTCCAATTATATTCGTTAATTTTTATATTTATACTAAACATTGAATTTATTGTTATTATTAAATGTATTTAATTACATTGCGCGAAGTAAACTTCTTCGTAATAATTAATATATAAATAATATAAATGTAACGTTGGTTCGGATTTTTTTTTTCTTCGTAATTGTAAAATATTATGCAATCGTCGGTATCCTCCTTATAAATATCATTCATTATTGCAATTATTAATTACGAAAAATCTACGACTACATTTTGCATCACCTTCTATCGACAATACTAAACCGCAATTACCCGCGTTATTTAATAACAATATTATCTTCACAATTCAATTTAAAAGGAACTCCTTTTTAAGTATGTAAATTGAATTAAATGTAATTAGTAGGGGAGTAAAATGAAAAATATTACGATGGATGTAGAATATTTGCTCAATTGTCCGAAAGTAGTTTATTCTTATTTTGGCGCTAGGAAGTTCGAACAATTCAAGCTTCGTGGTGGGCTATATATAGTTGCCTCGCTCATTTTCGAAAGCGCGCGCGCGCGCATAAAAAACATCCGAAATCGAATTTACCCTCCCTAATACTTGGTAATCTTAGCTCCCTATTTCTCTCGTTCGCCGATCCATGTGTTCGAAATCCACCCTCTTTTTATTCGCGGACTTATTCGCCTTGTGCACCGCGTAATTACTTATTATTTAAATATCGCTTGTGTTAGTAGGGGCTTATCAACATTGACAGACTATCGACGTAATTTACTAGTTAGAGGAGAAGCGAATTATTGTCTCGGATCTTTATGCGTTAAGAATTATTTGACGAGGCGATGAGTACAAGTACGTTTTGAGTTGTCACTTTTCTGAATTTAGTTATTTTCTCGATGGTGGCGGATAATTGATATTTGACAGCAATGGTTTTTACGTTATTACAAAGTTTCGTATGCGTGGGCCTACGAATGCCGTGGTAGTGTATGTGATGGAATTGCCGGGACGCCGAAGAATCTGAATTTTCATTGTTATTATTTATTGCTCGAAGATTTTGTCAGTAATGAAGAATTATCGTTGTCGTTGAATATAGCCCTTAGCTGTCTATCAATAATGAGAGAAAGTTTAAAACTTGATTATAAAAGGTTATGGAACGAAAAGTCTTAAGCCACTATACAAGGCCATCACTACTTGGCCTAAGAGAGAATATTTAAAAATTCTTTACAAAATTGATTAAATCCACTTCGTTAATATCTGCACCAAGATGCACGTCACATACGAATATCAAATGTATTATGCGGTATTCGATATTTAAATGTTAAGTAAATATAAAATTATTTAAACAATACGAAAAGTATGAAAGCTTATGACAAAAATTGTAAATAGATTGATACACATGTACAAACTTTTTTTTATTGCAAGAATGCGACTGAAATTAGCAAAATCATTGCTTATTCTTGTATTACTTGGCAACACTATTATTTGGTATAAGATATGGAAGCTGTTCGCAGTCGATCAGTCCCAGTCTTTGTCGGAGACTGGAACAACGTTGGATGTTCCGCAGAAGCTTCATCGTCGACTAGCTCGTTTAGTCAGTGTGGTCGTACGACAATTTGAAAGCTTTGAAAATGATGTAGCCACAACCGTTAAGTTTATTTTAAATTCATTCCCTACCATGACCATAATCATTGTTTGCGATGAATTTTTATATCCACCATTGGAATTAGATTTTACAAACGAGAGCTTGAGGAATGTTCATCTTGTAAATTTGCAGCCAAGTTTCAATAAATCATCGGATGAACGTAATCCGTTAACTTATGTTCATACCAAGTTTGTTTTGTTTTTGCCAGACGCGACAAGATTAATTACCAAACAAACGCTGCAGGTTTGTATATTATTTTTTAAATTAAATATATAAATAAAGATAAAACTTGTCAATGCTTCCTTAATGTTTACTATTGTTGATTGTACTTATAGGAGGCAATAAATCAGGCATCAAAATTAGGAGTCGTTTCTGTCCCCGTAGGTAAAAATTCTTTAAATTGCCTTGGCGTTAAATTGAACATTAAGGAATGGAGTATGCAAGTCGCAAAGGCAAGTGGGACAGAATGCGACGCGGTGTTAGGAAAACATGTTACCATTATGGATGTTAAATTATTAAAAAAACTATCAGATCCATTTTTATTGCCATTTACGGATGCTCTTTATCTGCAAATGACGTCACTTGGCATTAAGGTATGATTCGCTATCAGTATCTTATATCTTGATGTTTGAATGGACATTTATTTTATCATAATCATAGTAGGTATATAATTTGATTATCTTTTATAAAAAAAAATATTATTTATAATATTTAGCATGTTTGTTTGTTTGTTCTTTTGTTTTTTCCTTAATTTTTAGCATAAATTTTTTCATTGCGCATTCTTTATGTAGTGATATTGTAACGAGTGATTTTTTATGGGTAAGTACGATAATCGTTTTATTTTTTTTTAAGTGGCTTTATGTACATTGATGTTTAGTATAAAAATAGAATATCTTTTTGAAAGTAGTGCAGCGCACATGGTTATGAGAAAGGCAAACTATATTATTCTATTATTCTGACATTGAGCTTGAAAAATTGAATATGAAAATTAAAAAATGGTTTATGTTGTTAGGTAAACATTTTGAAAAATTTTCACTTTAATGAGGGGAAACCTTTATACCGCAGTCAGCAAGCACAATGGAAATTACAGCAACTCCATCGAACTAGAGAACGTGTAATGTACGAAAAGCTTGGAATTAAAAAGGTGGTTCGAGCGTCTAGTAACACAGAATGGTATGGCTGTTCAAGGGAAACCAATCATTGCTTTGGATCTGTAGTGAATGGCATCCCATCGTATCTTTACCAAAATCGTTACACTCCGCCGTGTTGTCTTGCTGGTTTAAAGAAAGTCGCTCATCATGTATTCGATAAATTAGAAGAAGTAGGTATTCGATACTGGCTCGAAGCTGGTTCGTTGTTGGGTGCTATGCACAATGGAGATATCCTACCATGGGATCACGAGGTCGTGGTTGGTGTAAATCGTGATGATTTAAATAGGTCGCCATGGCTAACCAAAGCTAAGAATAAGGCTGTAGTGGATAATCATGGCTTTGTATGGGAGAAAGCCACAGAGGGAGAATTTTTCAAAGTTCAGTACTCAAAAGTCAACAGACTACATGTGAATCTATTACCATTTTATGCAAGAAATGGAACCATGACAAGGGACTCGTGGTTCTTGCGGAATAAGGATTTTCCAGAACAGTTTTTGCATCCAATGTCAAGTATTGATTTTGCTGGTAGGCAAGTGCCAAGTCCCAATAACATAAGAGACTTTTTAGAGATTAAGTATTATAAAGGTGTGATAGAGAATCCGGAATTGCCGGGGAAGATTTCTCTTGATTGAGGAAATGTTATATCGAGTTGTAATAAATAAACATAGTTTATTATTTCTGTTATTTTTTGGCTATGGTACGTCCTTGTTGGTAATGGAATGGTACTAATTCAAAAGATAAAGTGAAGCAGCAGAATTTATTTTTCAAGGGTACCTCAAAGCGATAAATATTGCGAAAAACATGCAGGGAGTATTTTATTGTGTATTAAAAATTTTTTTTTATTAAAATTGTTTATCTTATTGAAACGAGAGCCTGTTTAGTATAGCATCAGACTTGCGATTAAGCGAACAATTGTATTTTTATTTTTTTTTTCAATTAAATTTCAAGTACAATTTTTATAAGCCTCAAGGCATTATCTTATATAAGCATTAAATTATTAAATTTGTATGAAATTACGATTTAACAGCATTCAAGTTTATAATTTTAACAAGGATAATATTCATAAATTATAATTATTAATGATTTTTTTTTTTTTTTTTAATTTTAAATATAGAATGATGTAAATATTGGAAATATATCATTTTTTGTTTCTTTTTTACAGGAAAGTAATTAAAATCATCGAAGTAATCTTGTAAAGCTTTTATATAAATATTACCATCAAGGATTAGTGGAACGTTTTTTTTTTTTTTTTTTTTTATTTAATAGTGTAAGTCAAAAAGAAGCGTCGGTAATTGCATGTTTTTACAAAAGTAAAGGGTAATTGTAAGACTATATAAGAAGCCTTTCTTTTCCGTAAAAGTGATGATAGTAATATCACAGAATTTTTCTTACTGTAACGCGTATTATCGAGCTTATGTAAATGTTGTATAGCTCGTATCTTCAATAAAAAGAATGTGGATACAAAATATACACCAATATTACTGTAGCAGGGTATAATCGACAGAATTTGCAGTCGGAAATATTTATATTGGAATTATATTTTTTGTATATCAGTCGTAGCGTCATTTCTAATCCAGATAATCCAGATTAAGAGATCGAGTAAAGTTTTATAAGGTTAAAATTTAAATTATTGGTACAAATAGTTGCAAATCAAAAAAAAAAAAAAAAAAAAAAAAAAAAAAAAAAAAAAAAAAAACTAAATAAATAAATAAATAAATAATTAAAATTAAAAAAAAAACAAAACAAAAAAAAAAAAATAAAAGATACGTCCGGTGGTATTTCCATTCTGAGCCGTGTTTTGAAAAACGTTTCATTCTATTTCAGATCTGATAAATAAAAACGATACATTTTTTTTTTTTTTTTTTATGTAAATTGACAATGTTGATACGAATATTGTAAGATTATTTTGTGTAACTTAATGTAATTTTTTCATTTATCATTCATATGTGCTGATGTTGATGTACTTTCGTACAGTATTTTCAATGTAAATTTTATGTTAATTACGACATAAAGAAGAAAAAATGTCATTTCATAGCGCGGTGTAATATAGAAATGATTTTACTACAATTAAATAAAATTCTTAAAAAACAAAGATAATAAACATAATATATATATATATATATATATATATATATATATATATATATATAAAGAAAAAGAAAAAAAAAAGTGAGTATCCATAATCGAAACGAGCATACAGTTAGTGCCAAATACGTAAGTTTATAAATATAAGAGACAATTGATAATTAATACTAAGATGTTATTGTTGAAGAAGTAGAGAGATTACTGTTGATTTGTCGATAAGAATTACATTAAATTAATTTTCTTTATTGTCTTTTGGCGGTATCAAAACTGCTGGCTCGCGTACGAAACTTAATAACTTATCTAATTTCGCTGATTCCAGCTCGTAGTTCGATAGGTGCGCCTGCTTTTTTGTAAGTTTTACTTTGAGCCTGAGATTTGGCGACAATTTCATCGTGCTGACAGTTCCCCTGAAAGTGAAAAAAACAAATTATTCGTATGACCAATTAATTCGGATGTTAATTCAATCTTTTGTGATCAATTGAAGACATTCGACGGAAAAGGAAAAGCCATTTATTGTGTTTGCTTTGTGCTTTTGCATTATCCGATAGGAGAATGTACGCGCAATTATTTAATCTCCATTACTTTATAATAATTTTGTAATAAATATGAATAAGCTATAGATTCATTAATTGATGGGATTCATTGTTATTCGAGAAGAATCTTTCGTTACATTAATTCACGCTCTTGTAATAAGCACAATTTCTAATTATAATAAAAACAAAATCTCAAAGATAATAAATTCTTGAAAAAAATTTTTTGTCTTGCCTACACATTATTTATCAATTCATTTATTCCCGCACAACATATGCAAACAAAATTTTTCTCAATTTTGTCTTACCACGTATAAAAACATGTTCGAGAATAATGATATTATCTCTTAGTCCCCTTTTTAATCCAGACACTTTACCGAATTAATAAGAATTCTTTATTTCTTTGACCTCTCGTCGTATCTATGAGCTTGAAAAACAAAAAACAAACAAACCGCTAACAATCGTTTGATCTTACGTTTGTTTAGACGGTCTACATGTTCAGATAAAATATTAAAAGACGAAAATTTATGATTGTTGGCTCGGCTAGAGATGACACAATACGCTTGGTAAAGTTGAGCGTGTAATAAAGATTTAGTTGTAAGTAATGAGAGCGTATTAGCTGGAACAAAGTGCCTCGACGTTACTCATGTGAGCGGAGTAAAAGCGACGGTTGTGCCGAAACAAGTTTCACCTGGCACTTTGAAGTCGCGACTTACTTGTTGTCGCCGATGATCACGAAGGGCAAGCAATTGCTGAAAGCGAGCCTCGTGAGCTTGTTTCGCTTGCTGACAACCGCTTGGCTGCATATTGGTCGGTACTTATTCACGTTGAGGTCAAATACCGTGACTTTGCCATCGTTGGACACGCAGGCGAGGACCGTTGAACTGTAGGGCGCCCACTGGACGTCGCTGATCGATACCCCGAGGTCGAACATGAATAGCGGCTCTCTGCGGGGTGAGCGAGATAGCTTAAAAAGTCTTTTAATTTTCAGCTTCGGAAGGTTGAGTCAAGCGCGGCGAAGGAGTGCAGTTCTTTGCGTCATTCATTCGACACATTCGACTAGTATTAAAGTCACGCAAGCTCGAGCCAAAGTCGCGATTAAGATTTGTAGATAATACTCAACAGTCTGTCGTCCTCCCAGATTTTGATTCGCCAGTCGCCTGAGCAGCTTGCAAATATACTCGAGTTGAATTTATTGAAGACGATTCGATGGACCGGCATATTGTGAGCCTCTACGTATGTCTGCATGTAAATGCTGCTGTAGGCCGTGTTGCATTTGTATATGGTGCCTTCTTCTGTACCCACCATAAACACGTTTGATTCATTTGGATGGAAGACTAAGCACGTGCCGCAACCTGTAGGACGAGTAATTGGTGGTTATCAATAGTTTGGCACTGAACGTTTCCTTTGTAAATGAATTATTACACCAAAGCCGGGTATCATTAGAAATTTATTTATTTGGCTCATCATCTTCCTCCCTCCTTTCCTTTCTTCTCTCTCTCTCTCTCTCTCTCTCTCTCTCTCTCTCTCTCTCTAATGTAATACCTTATTTATGGTGGTTAATTTTTACATTTTTATTGATTATGTATATATATTGATAATTTGGAAGTTGTAGGATTGAATTATATAATCAATACTATTTATATAATAATAAATAGTAATTATTAATAATATTAATATTTCATATTAAGGTAAAGTGCGGTAAGCTAAGGTAAGGCCATCAATACAGTTTAATCTCGAGTATGCAGTCAAATTTTATTTCGATTCTTTTTACGTACCCTTTAATGGGATTTTGGTTCCATCAGGTCCAGAAATAGGCGAATGGTCGAGAAAAAGAGTCATGATGTTTGTGACACCAAGTTCATTTTGATTTAGAACCCAATAATTGATTAGTCCATCAATGCTTATACTGAAGAAAGCCATATTACCCTCCTCGGTGTCCGGTGCCCAACAAACCTTTTAATTATTGTCCAAGAAATTGCTTATTATCCCCATTGTATATTCTGAGAATTGGCAAATAAGAAACTATGAATTTGTAAAACCTGCCAAACGATGCCCGCATGCTTTTGAATTACGTTATTACTCTTGTATTGTGGAGTCGTCGGAGCCAACATTACGTTGTATACTGCTACCGAGCCCTCCATTGTTCCTAATAAATTATATTTATTTATATCTATAATACATTTATGTTATATATATATATATATTTTTTTTTTATTTTACATTTATCTCTATATTTATTATATGATATCTATACAATATATATTAATATGATAAATATCCAAATAAATTGCAATGTGTCAAATTTACTTTATTTATACTTTCATTTTAATTGTGTGTTCTTATGTGACTGTATTGACGTCCAGAAAATCTATATTTTTAATCACACGTGTTAAAATTCTACTAATTCTTATTTCTATTATAATATTAATAATCGTACTAATATCTTCTATATAAATTTTCTTAATATTTAAATAACCGTTCAAAACTTCACTAAGATCCTAATAATTATTTTCTTCTACGACATTGTAGAAAAAATTATTTTTTAATCAATATAATTAATGGTATAACGCAAAATTCTTATTGAATTTATTTCAAAATATTGTTAAAATACATTTCTTAATGGTATTTTAATTTGAATTTCCTCTGCTCAATTAAATGCGTACTTAAAAAGGCTGTGAAACGCAAATGTTATTAAATCATAATTATTCTTCCCCTTATATTTAAGATTTTATGCATTGAATTAAAAAGGATGAAAATGTTGTGATAGCTTTTTTTTTAATTTTTTTTTTTTTATTTAATTTTTTTGTTTTTTTATTACCAATTACGAGAAGATAAGGATTTTGTACATTAAAATCCAAGCACATTACGGGCGAATCAGTCATACAAATCCATTCGGGGAAAGATGGATTTTTTAACGAGTAGAGACAAACTGCTCCATTTGGCATCGGGTCGTCAAATTTCACTAAAATATTCGTGAACAATCCATCAATATAACGATTTTCAATTCATTATAACTATAATGTATAACTATAACTCAAAATATATTTTCATTATAGTAATTTTCTGTCTTAAATTCTATTATAAGATTCAGTATATTGTACAGCATATAATTTGCTATTAGATATTAAATAATTAAAAATACTTATTAGTTATTGTAGAAATGTTAAATGCAAAAGAATTGTATCTCACTCGATCCATAAGCAACAGCAAACAGATCATAGTATTTATTGTTAAAACATAGATCGGTAACGTCATGTTTCTTGATTTTTTCGTAGGTAAATTTCCATAGAGGTAATAGTGATCCTTCTCCAGGCTTAAATTCATCGCTAGGATCATCCCAGTACCTGTAATCTAAAATAAATACAATTGTTATTGTTTTATCACATGTTTTAACAATTTAAAAAATTTTTTTCAATTTAATTTTATTTAACCAAATAAATTGGTTGATACTTCCAGTAGACTCTTAGTGTTGTACTAATTCTTACACGAGGCGTGGAAGGAAAAATTCTAGAACCTTCGAGAATGTTCGACGAGAGGAAAGTAGGAGTAATATATTTGTGTGATCTTATAGTATATTAGATTTCAAGTCGTAAAACTTGCTCGGACTTGCCGAGTTTTGTTTATAAACATTCGCCCGAGTGCGCGTGCCGGTCTAGGCCCGCGTGCCCTACGCCGCACAGCGCGTATGACCTACTTTTTCTAAAATTCATGGAACTCCATCAATCTCGAATCTCGAACACTTAGGTATAAAATAATTATCCATAGTGATGGTTAATTAATTAATTAATTAATCCATAGTGAATGATTAAGAAATCCATATGCATTTTATCGGAAAATGTCACCTGTCACTTTTAAGGATCAATATTTTTTGTTCAAACGATTATTTCAAGTCCTTGTCTCTTACGCGTCTTTTAACAATGTAATTTTGAAAAAGGCACATTTATCCATCTTAATTTTAATTATTCGTATTCCCCAAATGCGACACCCTTGTTATCGGCATTCAAAAATCTCTTTATTAATAAAATTTCCGGTTGGTTAATTTTATAGGCCCGCGTGCCCTACGCGATTAAAAAAAAAAAAAAAAAAAAAAAAAAAAAATTAAAAACAACAAAAATTGTCAATGTGACCAGTATTAAGAAGGGAATAGCTATATGAAATAAAATAAAATTATGTTACCGACACTATAAGTGTCGTTAAATATATGGAAAAATTACATTACGACATAAATATAAAAATGTGGCACAAGTATAAAAATCACGAAAATCATCAGCCATTTATGATTATCGATTTTTAAAAACCTTGTAATATGTCGTCGAAGACGTTTTGATTGACCATTCGTTCCAAAGTTTTCGCTGCTTGTAACATACGATTCGCCATTGCAGCATCTCCATGGAGAGTTGTTTTTTTTACATCTTCCTTATGAACTGCCAATACCTTACGCTCTTTCTCCTTTTCCAGGCGATGCTGTTCATAATCCGCCTGATTTATAATTATAAGATAGTTCAATCATTTTATTATCAAATTCTGTGAAATTCTTTGAAGCTCAAGTATCGTACAAAATACAGATCGAATATTCATATTGTCTATTAGATAGAATTTGTTGATGTTAAATAGTTTTTTTTTTTTTTTTTATAAATTTTACCTTATAATTATCGTAGATTTCCCATTGATGGATGGTGCCTTTACATGTTGCTGTTGGCGGTGGCATTGTTTCTGTCCATGCGTCCTACAAGACAATTTAAAGTAATTTTCAACTTTAATGTATGTTTACTAATGCTGTATGTTAAATGCAACGATGTGAAAACTTTACCGTTTATTTACGCTGATTTAAATTAGCGGAGTTTTTTTTTTTTTTTTTTTTTTTGTTAAAGGCAAGAGGAGAAAGTAGTGCCACATGATTATTTAAATTCTTAGCATTAATGCGAGAGTGAAAACGCGAGAGTGAGAGATAGATAGATAGATAGATAGATAGATAGAGAGATATAGAGAGATATAGAGAGAGATAGAGATATATATATATATAGAGAGATAGAGAGAGAGAGAGAGAGAGAGAGAGCAAATATTTATTACTTAATTATATCAATACATATACGTATAAGAGTATTTGTGTGCTTAAAAGAAGATCTAAAATTAGTAAAAATTATTAAATATTGAGTACCGTAACCCTACTATTTTTATTATACGTATGATTTCACTTGTATGTATATTTTAGATTTTCTCACTTTCTCATGCACGTCAATTCGATTTTAATTGTAAATCGTAGTTCACGTGGGTGGTAATTTCATGTATTTCAATACATGTTGTTTTTTAATATCCTAGCAATCGTTGGATTTATTAGACATTTAAGAGATAGGAGCACACCCCGCATTATATAGCACACTACTAATAATTTTTAAAATGTAGAAGATATATCATTGCATACTATATCTTGTTTTAATATAATATTTCTACCATTTATCAGCAATAAAATAAACTATAGCGACTTTAATACTATAGCGACAATTATAGTAGCAACATTATTATTTACATTAGGAGCTTCATAATTCAAAGTACTACTTTTAACACTTTATAAACGTGATTAAAGATTTAATGAAATTATATATTGTATATATTTCTTATCGACCGTTTCTATAATTCTTTCAGAATGTCAAATTAATAAGAAATATGTAGGATGATTTAGCGATTAGTATTTAAAGCTAAAGAACACAAATTATAAGGAGAGGACAAATTAATTGTAAAAGGGCATTTGTCAAATTGAAGTTTGTATACTTTAGGAATAATTAATTCATTTTTCAAGCCTGCAGATTGTAAACTTAAATTAACAGCATTGAATAATTAAAATCTTGTTGGAATAATGCATCGTTAAGGTAATCATTTATAATTGTGTATTCTCTAGAAAATTAAAGTAAATCTGGTCTTGAAATCGAGTTATTTCTGCTTTGAGAGGCTATAAAGGAGCTACAGCTGTAAAAACTTATAACAGTAAAATAATAATTCTAACTGCAGTATTGCCAAATACCAAAAATGTTAAATTTAAATCATTTTGATGACTATATTCATCTGAATTTTATCGAAAAAGATATTTTACATTAACGCTTTCTATAAAAAAAACACGAGCTTACTTTTGATGGGATTGGATAGGTGAGGGCAGCCCTTTCACAAAAATTGAACTGATTTGGTAACTTTTTGGCTTTCTGCGTCATATTATCTTCATCGGCATCGAATTCTATTAGGTCATCTCCTGCTTTGTCTTCTAAATCGTCATCTGTTTCGAGATAAATTTATCAATCGATCTTAAACTATTTATTTATTTTTCATATTTATTATTATTTTATATCTACTGTAGATTAATCTTACCGTACAAAATACGAATACGTTAAGTAAATCCAAATGCATCATTCAACGTCTGTTATGTATTTGTTAATACCGTCATAAAATAAATTACATAATAATATTTAAAAGTGTTAAAAATCGTTTGTAAGTCAAAAGATTATTGTTAATGTTTGATATAAAATTGTGTATAATGTATTCCGCTTTAGTGTATATATAATATAACTGCTTTGTTATTAATTCCATTAAGTTACAAAAGTTTGCTGCATAAATATACTTATTTTTATTTTAAAAACATTCTTTTACCAATTTTCCCCACCTTCTCCACCTTCACCTTCCTCAATTTCTTCATCATCTATGCCGTCGCTTTCTTCATGGGTCTTCTCTTCCTTACCATCTTCATTTACGTTTTTATCTTCACCTTCAATTTGTTCTGTAACTGTAGAATTACACTTTAATACTCTGTAAAATCATACATAGACTGTTATCGAGTCATTATTTGCTGTTTCGTGACTCGGTACAAAGAGAACTATCATTGTAAAACATAGTTAAGCATCAAAAGAAAAAGAAAAAAATTACTTTTACCTATGATATCTCCAACTAATTGTTTTTTAGCTTCTTCACTGTCATTATGGACGACAGTGCCAAGGACATTGAGAACAGTCACAATGTTTGGTGGGTGAGGAACGGCAACATATTCTCTGCGGTGGTACGACCAAACAACTAAATTATTTGGCACCCTTGTATTTTTAATTGTCAATTCCCTGGCTATTTCCTCGTTCAGTTCCTAAATGAAAAATTTACTTTATCGTATTATCATTGCTTTTAATAAAATGATCCTAATATTATGTATTTTCTATAGCGGTCGTTAGATAGTCAATGTAGTGCTGCTTTCTACATACGGTATCGGTCAACTGAAGTTGATCGTCAGGTTTTAATAACATTTTTCCACGTATAATGTCCGTGTCACCTCCCATATCGAATTTGGATGCTTGACTTTTTGATTTGTTTCCCTAGGAAATTCATTATAGTTGGTTAGCAATTTTTTCTACATTTTCATCATTTTTTTAATCTCTCTCTCTCTCTCTCTCTCTCTCTCTCTCACACGCACACAGACACGCGCACGCACGCACACAAATATTTATTTATTTATTTATGTTTATTTTATTTATTTATTTATTTTTTTTAATATAATCACCATATAGAAAACGTTTGATTAAAAAATTTTTAATAATAACAATTTGCTGAAACAGTTAGTTAATTCATAATTATAACTCGAATTAGATTATACAAAAATCTTTATTATCAAGATGTGAAGTATAAATTTACCTCTGATCCCCTCATTGATTGTCTTTTCATTAATGATCCGTGCATTTTGTCGCGTTTTTGGCTATGCCCAAATAAACTCAAAGAATTCTCCCCTTATTGGACTCAACTTTCGCTTTAATTAATTTTTCGAAAAACACTGTGCTGATCTTAACGAAAGACAGGTGCAATACTAACGGATATTGTTGCCTTGGTGATAAGAAATCGTCGAGCAATTTATTAATATTTTCCGAATTTTATCAGTTCGAAGAAATTTATTTTACATTTTCAAAAACTTAGGTTAATGATATTTCGCGATTGAATTTTTCTGCGATTTCGACTATTTTGCTTGTGTCGCCCATATTCTCAGAAGTAAAATTCGGTTGATTTTTAAAAAATTTTGAATTAGTTACTATGGAAACCAGGCTCAAGATTTTTGAGAATAATATTAATTTTTTTTTTTATAAATAGCAGTATATTAATGTATATATATATATATATAATTCATTTAGTAATTTGACGAATTTGATATATATATATATATATATATATATATATATATATATATATATAAAAATTAATAATTATATATATATATATATATATAATTCATTTAGTAATTTGACGAATTTGATTGTTATATTAAATCGACTAGTTATAATATGTTGCTTTTTTTAAGGCTCCGACAAAAATTAATTTCGTATGCAAGACAAATAAAAAAAAAAAAAAAATTATATATGTTTTTATCGTTTTTATTGCTTTTATAAAATTATATTTTCTATATTAGAAAATGGTATATCATTGTTATTACAAAAGAGAAAAACATTCGACTTAAGATAAATATTTCTTCATTTATATGATCATTTTTCTTATTAAATACTAGATCGTTGACTCGAAAAAAGGACTAAATACCTATTTATTATTTTTCGTTAAAAAGACTCTTATATAATAAGAATAAATAAATGTTTTGAATGTATATACCCAAGCATTGACGAACTAGATAATAAAACTTCGACAATATCATGTCCTTATAAATCATTACATATTTAAAAATAATGTCAATAATAAATTACAACGAAATTATTTAAACAATTAATTTTTATATAATATTATAGTTAGTTTTTATGTAATACTATAATGAATACCATCCGAATATCGCGGCTAATATTATTTGGAGAATTATAGAAATTAAAATTCAGACCAGATCTATTGGTTGTAAAATGTATTTGAAATTTTTTAACCAAACCCGCAAGTTACTATTAGGATTTTAATTACCAGCAGCTGTAGGATGAAGAAATACAACGTTACTGAGTCTGCGCGTAACTCACTAAATATCGCTGAGGTTATTCTCGACACTCAGTGTATTTCCAGTTTAGTTGACACTTCGTGCGATCGCTTGCTAATTTGTGCACTATGAATTTTCTCAATCATTGCTTAGCGACAGAGGCCGTTTAATGGAGTAAGTTAATTAGCGTAAGACTGAACGGTACTCGCTTTTTCTTTCTTTTTTTCTTTATCAAACGCTCTTAAGATAATATGCTTATAACCTTATAATAAATTATATTTTTTAATAATCGTATCAACAGTCTATTGCAAATTTATATATATATGTGTGTGTGTGTGTGTGTGTGTGTGTGTGTGTCTATATATTATATTCTATGTATATTAGTTCGTCGATTTTGTTTCATTGAGTCTAAATGGGTCTTGTTTTCCTTCTAAAGACCTACCTGTATATGCTTGAGTTTTGTGAAAAAATCAATAGTTGCTCAGCCAATACCGAGTCAGAGAGCTACAAGTTGTATGGAAAAGATTAAAGTAAAACAATTAGAGTTTTGCTTATTTTACTCTTAATTTATACGTATATCTATATTTACTTTTTTTTTTTAAGTTGATATAAAATCATTTTATCGTAAAAATAAAAAAAATATAAATTATATTTTATATTTTAAATATAAAATCATTTTTTCGTATTACACGATTTTTTTTTTCTAATGAAAGTAAACATTATTTAATAATTAATTAATTAATTTAATCTTAATTTACACGAATTTTAATATTATTTCAACGTAGATTTTTGAATTGTCGCTCAAAAATTTTTGTTATATGCATTGTTTTTTTTTTTTTTTTTTTTTTTTTTTTTTTTTTTTTTTTTTTTTTTTTTTTTTTTTTTTTTTTTTTTTTTTTTTTTTTTTTTTTTTTAATTGACAAAACGTTGAAATTCACTTGGATAAAAATATTACTAATCTTTTTCAACTTTATTTAAAATTAAAAATGATGGTTTTTTTATTTGTTAAATTAATATTTAATTTATATTTAAATATTTAAAGAAAATTTTACTTAAAAATTTTACTATATTTTTATCAATACTCTATAATTTATAAATGTTTTCTTCTTCTTTTTTTTTTTTTTTTTTTTTTTTTTTTTTTTTTTTTATATATAAAGTAAATCTATAATTGCAATATAATATTGCAATGGAAGATAGCGGCATTGATAGTGATCCGAAAACTAATGTGCGCATGGAAGATGACAACTTTTTCACGGTAAGTCATTATGATTTTCTTAATAAATTTATGTTTCGATACTTTAAGTTATTTGAGTTTAAAAGGGAAGCGACAGCAGTTGCAGCAGCAACAATCAAACCACATGTCAGAGGTCTACTACAAAGCAATTGCAGAAAAAACTTGGTAAAATTTGCAATATCTCTGCATGCTTTATTTGTAAAAGTATTCATTCGTATTATATTGTAATAATAAATATTAATATTAAATCTTTTTTTTTTCTTTCAAAATGAAGATAATAATAATATAATAAAAATGATGATATACATGTTTATATATTGTAATTTTTAATCCGCTTAATTGTTTATGATGTATAAGATTTGATAAGAGCTTATAATGTATTAAATTTAATTTGGGCATGTTTATTGACAGAATTATACGAGCACATGTGCGGATACATGTGTGAAAGTGTGTGGGCATTTGAAAAAAGTCGTGAATTTGTTATACAAAAATATTTCATTCTTTCATTAGAAGCCAGAATCGAACAAGCGAAACGTATTCAGCGTAATTCAGAATATACAAAACTTCCAGACAACGAACCAGATAATTGTAGTTCTAAATACAACTTGCTAATCCCTATACAAAGATTACCAATCCCACAAAAGAAAACTGATTCTACACTTATAGAATTTTGGCATAGCGATGAAAGGTATAAACAATAAGCATAATAAAATATTAAATAACAAGCATAATTTAATATAATAAATATTATATTATATAATAAAATAATGCATAATAAACAAAATAATATTGGATTGGATGTTTAAAATATTTTTAAATGTTTTTAATTTATCTTGAATTGTTTTTATTTAATATATAATATTATATTATATATATATATTATATTATTTATTATATATATTATATATATTATTATATTATTTATTATATATTATATATTATATATATTATAATATATAATATTATATTTAATATATATTTTTTAATATAAAAGAAAATTGTAATGCAATTAATATTATAAACTAGAAGCAGAGAAGATTCGTATTAAATAACTCGAAGAAAATTGATGAAAAAATACAAAAATGTACGATAATTAAAAACATTAGTATTGTTATTAGTTAAAATATTATTATCAATGATACCATATTGCACTACCAATTGTCTAACAATTATAATTTATATAATAATTGAAATAATCATTGAAATATTTTCGCTACTCACTGAAATAGTAAAAAAATACGTGAACTCTATAATATCGTATTAATAAATAATAAATAATAATTTACATAATAATAAATCTATATTATACGATTATGTGTTTGTAGCGAGGATGAGATGACACTTTTCCCGATGACGAGGGAGAATGGTTTGAAGCACAAACAGGATCTTACCGATACTTTTAGTATCGAGGAGTTAAGCGAAGGGAGCGAAGATTCTTTACACTTAGGTCCAGCACCAGAGATTCATCCACATATTCGAACTTATATACCATATGGGTGTTTTCGTTGCCAGTGTCTTATAATTTAAATAATTTCTCTTTTAAATTTAAATTTAAAAGACATATTTATTCGTGTTTTTAAAATTTATGTAAATGAAAAAGTAAATTTGGATGTTGAAATATTTTAAAAGAAGTAACAAATATTAAGAGATAAAGAGTTAAAAAAATTATTAAACAATCTCGTCATCGGTCATTTTTCATATAGAAAAATAACTATTGGCTAATCCAAGCATAATCTTATTGTAAATACGTATTACTCTTAAGTTAGTTTATCATGAAAAAGGAAGTAATTTTTTATCTGATTGCGATCAGGTACTGTTTTCTTGAATTACGTATAGTTTTATACATAATCATATAGTTTATATTCGAGAACGGAGAAATAGATGACGTTTAAGTCTATAGAATGAAAATGCTTAAGAAAATACGTTAAACGTTGAACTGATAATTTTTGATAATGCAGAAAGTATTGGTGAAAGTATGAAATATTATTTTACAATTGTAATGGAAGAGATATAATATCATAGACATTAATTGTTTAAGATTTTCCGAGAAATCCAATTTATGTACAATACAATTTAATTATTTTTTTATCGATAATTTTCATATAAAACTCTGACTACATTTACATAATTAGATGTTCCCACCTGAAGTATTAGAATTCCTTTGGATGAAATATTTTGCGAGTGCGATGGGAAACTTTAATGAATGGTAATGATTTGGAATTTTACAAGTAGTCATAGAATTTAGACTTTGTTATAAAGTAATATTGATAATCAATAATAATTAACCAAATAAATAATAACCGATAAAAAGTCGGTCCATCATCTTTATAATTTCTATTTATTAAATATTCTATACGTACATGTAATAAGAAATAGGCTTTATAATGGTGACATACCACTAATTTCTTAATACGTTGATATTATCAATTAAACTATTTTATATTTAATTTAATACGTTGCCACTTTGATATAACTAACTATATTTTAAAAATCGAATATGATACTCTGTGATAAAATGATTTATTTATATTTTGAATATAAACTATATCATCATATTTTGATAATGCATTTTCAACAATATATGAAATATTATTGCAAAATGTATGTTAAGACCATACATTTTTTTCTCTAGACAATCTAGTTATTAATATACACATATTTATGTAACTTTTCAATTGATAAAATCATATTGTAAAATTTAAACAGTTTTATTTGAAAATTTGAAATTTCATATTACTCTCTATCAATGTTTGCTTTGAAATACTTTTAAAGATATTTTATACATAATTTTAAAAGTATTTTTAACGCACAATACTATAGAATGGAACATTATCGTTATGTATATCATTTATTTCAGTAATTATTTATTTTATAAATATTTTACGAGCTTCCGATTTCTAGAATATTTTCTATATTTTAAATCCACGCTATAATTTTAAGTTTTTTCTTTTTATGATTTTAAAATCAATTAAATTTAAAATTTTTAAATTATTTTCCTTTAGTCTTTAAATATGTTAATATTTTCATGATCAGTATAATGCCTAATATTAAAATATTAAACAATTCAGCAACAATAGAATTTAATATTTGAAAAGGTTAAAAAAAATTATCTTACATTTAATTAATAAGAATAATGTAATTATTTATATAGACTGCATTCATAATTATTAATAAAAAATTTTGTTGCTGAAAATAATTTTATTTATAAATTATTACTAAATGTTAAAAGTATAAAGTATAAAAATTATTGTATGTTATTTTTAAGAATTGTATTATAAATTATTAATAAAATCATGTGTAATAGAGAAGATAGCTTTATTTATTATTAAAAATGATATCGTTTTATTTAAGAAAGCTAATTTCTAACATAAATTAGCCACATTTATATACGAAGAGAATTCTTTATTTTAATTACTCATTCTAATAGTTTAACGAAATATATATTTTTTTTTATTGCAAAGGTATTCATTATGTATATGTGCATGAGTTAATGAGTGCACTAGTTATTACACTAAATTCAATAATTAAGTAATAAGTATGAATTTTATTTAGAATAAATGCAATTTAAATTATTTAGAGAAAATTCTATATACAATCAGACAATAACGTATTTGAAATAATTCTTCTAAGATTAAATAGTTTTTATTAAATTTTAATTTTATGCAATGTTTAAAGTATATTTAAGATAAAATAAGTAAAAATAAATATAGTCGAAGCATTTATTTGATTTTGATGTATTTTTATATGGTTCTTTGATATTAAAAAAGTAAAGAAAATAATCAGTAAATAGTTATAAGCAACATTATCATATTTATAATAGTTTCTATGAATATTACGAAAAATTTTACTTATAAAAATATACATTTAGCTCAACATAAATAAATAATAACAAAATATTAATATCATTTATTCATAATTTTTTACTTTGAAGTAATAATAATTTTTTTATGATAATATAAAAATGTTATAAAATTATGAGCTTGATGTTATGTTAAAATTACACATCAATTTATATAAAAATTGGTTGTTTTTTAATTTTGCACATTATATAATATATGATATTTTATAAGTGAATAAATTTTTAAAAATGTATAAATTGTAATAATCTCATGAAAATATCAACTTCTTTCTCAAGTACCGATAGTCGGAGAAAGAAATATAAGTTTTTAAGTGATAGTTTAGATTTTAGTAAAATCAATGATTGAGAACAAAAATATCAGTCTTTTTAAATATAAACCATCATTTTATAAGATAATTAACAAGAGACAAAAGTTAAACGACGCTCAGAATTCACAAAGAATATTTTAATTTCTTAGATTCTCTATTCTAATATTCCATAGAATATTTTAAATATTTTATTTCTAGAATAGGATGCTTATAAGATTTTTAAAAATTGAATCTTGAATAATTTGTCATTGCGAATAGAATTGAATTCGAAAATTATACATTCTCTTATATCATAAGTCTTTCTTTTGTTTTATTTTTTGCAATAATATCTAGATTGAAAATAAATATATGACAATTAATAATTTATATTAAATAAAGATGATTTTTAATTACAATATATGTCTTGTAATTCAATAAATCTCACTTCCAAACTAAGAAAAGCGATTATTATGGCATTCAGATATTAAAATTCAGTCTGTCTATAAAAATACAAAAATACATTTAAAACGTAATTAATGAAGTTAGAATATAAATTATAAAATTAAAAAATTAATTACCAGAAATTAAATATATTATTTAAAAGAGTTAATTCAATTTATAATGATATCATATAAAATATATAAAAATTTAATTAATTTAGAATTTAGTAAAGAAAACCACGAAAATTTAGGTAAAATTGTATTATAATGTTTAATGTAATTAAGAATATTAAGTAAAATTAGATGATAATTGATTATGATGATGAATTAAAATTGATATAGTATGCGAATAAAATTATAAATTATTCAATCGATATTCTTATATTACCAAATGTCAGTATTTTGAAAAATATTTTCTCTATCTACCGATCATATAACAATTAACATAATTTAAAGTATAAGTTTTTTTTATTAAAAAAAAAAAAAAAAAAAAAAAAAAAAAAAAAAAAAAAAAAAAACTGATATAAAAATTTATGATAGAATAAATTGTTAATTAATGTTCGATAATTAACTACTCTTAACATTAGTGTTTAAGTCACGGTTTTCCCAATTTACAAACGAATATTCATATATATGACAGGATAAAATTTATTCCTATAAATAATATTATTTTCTTTATATATCACTTTATTTATTTAATTTAACATAAAAAAAATTTACAGTATGCCACAGAATAATCAAAATATCTTGTATTTTATGCAGTTTATTTATTGATATCGAATACATTTTTTCAACTTCTATTCAATGTATACAATGTAGCCATTATTTTTGTTGAAGATAGAGAAAAAAAAAATCTTAAATGAATATTTAAAAATTTAACCATTAATTTATATACATAGCATTTTATTTGAGACGTTATGATCAATTTATTTATTTATTAATTTTTTTAATTCCATGAATGTATAAGCAATTAATTTTCATTATAAATTTAATAAGAAATGTAAGAATGAAGCATTTATATTAAGTATTTTTGTTTTAGAAATTGAAACATAAATTTACTAATAAGATATTTTATCATATTTTATCATATTTTATTATATAAAATATTTAGAGCAAACAAAATTTAAAAAATTTCTTAATCGTAAATAAGTATCGGAGGTTAAGTGATGGGTACCATTTTTAACTGTCATTTGATAATCAATTTCTTTCTCTGAGAAATTCATAAATCATATAAATATAAAAATAGACTTCATTTTTATCTTTAAGAAAAAATTGGTAAAGCAGAAAAGGGATTACCTTTTCTCTATGCCTTCATTTTGTTTCCCAATGCTGGGAAAGTAAACGGACGAAAAAGAAATATGAGAAAAAATGAATGGATACTTCGTTTTGGCTACTATGGTGATAATGATTTTTCTGAAATTGAAGTCATTGACAACTGTCAGTATAGATTTATAAAACGACGTGATAGATAAACTATTAAAATATAGAGATTTATTCAATTTTTAATTGTAATTTTCCTTCTAATTTTGGTTTTTCATAAATGTTGTCGGATGAAATAAATAAAATTCAGTTTTAAATCGCACTTAGTATAAATAGAACGTCTTTATTAATAATTTCAACGTAAAAATTATAATTTCTAAACATAATTACAAAAATATTATTATCCCAATAAAAAGATTGTTAATATGTTGAGTATTTGTATTACCGTAATTATATTATCTTATATAGAAGTTGAAATCATGAGTTATGATTTTGAATGTTCAATGTTTGTAACTTTTTATATAGCAACAATGCAAGAAAGTATTCGGAATATTTTTAATGTGGATAGTTTTATTGAAGCAAGAAGGCTGAGAGTTCCCATATTAAATTTTACAAGATAATGTTTGCAGTTGATATATATATATATATATATATATGTATAAACACACATACGTTTATGGATATCGTTAAATGTATGC